TGTGATGCTTAGGCCTCATACTGAGCCGGATGTTCTTAAAGGCTGGAGATACTGATCTTGGTGAAGCTGGAAAAGCCTCCAATCCACCAGTCATCCCTGCATTCAAAGATAACCGCTATTGTAATGTATAGCTGATGTCCCAATAATCAAACCCAAAAGGCATCACTAGTTCGCGGTTGATAGAATGGTACTAAGCACCCACCTTTTGTTTTTTGTTTGGGCCTACTATGCCCAGCTTTATAGATTTCAAGGTCTGATTTCAATAAAAACTGACACAATTAGATTTTTTCATCGAAGAAGACATTTCTGAAAGTGTGATCAAATAGTACGCATAAGTAAAATTATTACCCGACACTCCTACTCACTCTACTTTGGTATAATAAATCAAAGTAAATAAGCCTCAAGCGACGAACAACTTATAAATCCAATAGCAAACATGTATCGGAGATGAAGTCGCCACAAAAATTCGATTTGGTAACTCCTCTACGCGTTCCGAACTTCACACAACTTACTAACTAAACGAGTGTCGTGGTAGGAATAACTTTCAATATTATTTACTACCGGCTATCGCTTTATGGACCACGGAATAAGGTTTAAGACCGCTCGACGTGTCGGTGCAAGTCATTGAGCAACGAAGATTGAACGTGTGTTGCTTTGCGTTCCAACCACGAGATCTTGATAATATTAAACCATTAAATACGTTGAAACTGATTTCACGATAATATGTTCGTAACTGCTTTAACTTGTGTCGTTGTTCACAACTGATGCTGTTTAAGATTTGGATACAGAATTACAAATGTCTGAAACAAAGACGCTGAATCCTAAAAATCAAATCCAGATGTCGCGGTGCAGTCTTTTTAACATTCGATTAGATCAGGAGAGTGATATGGGCTGCCTTTTATCCCGAAAAAATATCTGATTCCCTCGGCAAACTACACTGACGCTTTTCCTTGACCACAAGGGCGGAGTCGCGGGTAACAGCTAGTTCTAATATAAAACTAGTACTTACACCTCAAGCTTAAGATACGATTTACGTATTAGGTGTTTTTTTCTGTTTTGTTTTTTACGCTTTGTAGAAAAATAAAACTATTTCTATAAAAATATACATTTATACAATAACTAACAATACTATACTGATGCCCGTCGATAGCTATTTAGCACAATAAATAAAGAAGATCAATTAACAGAGTACAAAATGATATTTGAATGTTTTGGTTATTGGCACGGGTATCACGTCAAATCTTAGCCGGAGTCCCGCAAAAATCCGCTCTCTCCCCGCTTCTTTTTAGTCTGTTTATTAACGATAATGGCGGTCGCCAGAATTCTACTTAGCCCTTTTCACGGATGATACGGCTATCTACTGCTCAAGTAGGAAGATGTCGTTCATGCATAGTAAGCTCGAGATTGTGACCACCAATTTAGGACAAGGGTCATCAAGGAAAATCGCTGGGTCACGGTGGATGCAGGTGGTAACGAACCGGCCGCACTGGACATCAGTTGGAGAGGCTCGGAATACGAAAACCCTCTGGCCGAGATTGAACAAATTTCCCATTTATCAGGCAAAACGAAACTCTTTACATCTGGAGCTAAGATTGAAAATGCAAAACTATATGTTCAGCAGTAGACAGTGGACAGGCTGAGATGAGAATTTAGGACAATGGTTCCAAAAGTGGCGCATTGACATCAACCCCACCAAAAGCACAGCCGTGCTCTTCAAAAGGGTTCGCACTCCCGACACTATTGGTAGTATCTCGTCACCAATTAGGCGCAGTAACTCCATTTCCGCCATAAAAGTCTTTGGCCAGCCCGTACCCCTACCCCGTCCGGGCGTAGTTGGAATAGCCTCTTAGTCTCTTAGCCCAGCGAATAGGTAGGGGAACAAACCCTTTACTTAAACACATCTCAGACCCAATAGACCCGGCCTCCGACTTTTCAACTCAATGCTCCAAACGTCACTTTTTCTAATTGTCGTATCTTTATTGTATTGTATTGGAATTCTAAAGAGTCATTTTAATAGCGCATTACCTACACACGTAAATGAATCAATATATACAAAAAATATATAAGGGGGACCCCCCTAAATTAAAAAATATATGATCGCGCATATGAAGTCGAAGCTCGTGCTTGCATTTATGTTTCAGTGCACATTCTTAATCCCACTATTGTATGAGAAAATACTAAAAAAACTAAAATCATAAAGTATTAAAACTTGTTATTATTCTATCTTTTAAATAGGGCTGACGCCCGCCAGGATGTCCTGGACATTCTCCAGATCCCTGAAGTAATTAACCCTTTCAGACTTGAATTACGTTGCTTCTAAAACCCTTCTGAGGCCTTAACTCAAAATAATTTTGATAACATGAAATTTTATTACGAAGCTAATAGTGACCGATCTCAAAACGGAATTCAAAGGCAGTAAATATTTTTTTATATTGCTTAGATGGGTGGACGAGCTCACAGCCCACCTGGTGTTAAGTGGTTACTGGAGCATATAGACATCCATAACGTAAATGCGCCACCCACCTTGAGATATAAGTTCTAAGGTCTCAGGTATAGTTACAACGGCTGCCCCACCTTTCAAACCGAAACGCATTACTGCTTCACGGCAGAAATAGGCAGGGTGGTGGTACCTACCCGTGCGGACTCACAAGAGGTCCTACCACCAGTAATTACGCAAATTATAATTTTTGCGGGTTTCATTTTTATTACACGATGTTATTCCTTCACCGTGGAAATCAATCGTGAACATTTGTTGAGTACGTATTTCATTAGAAACAATTGGTACCCGCCTGAGATTCGAACACCGGTACATCGCTCAACACGAATGCACCGGACGTCTTATCCGTTAGGCCACGACGACTTCAAGAAATTCAAATAAAAGGGAATAAAATTTAAATATAATATATACAAATCCCTTCGTGAAAACAAAACCGTACCCTCCAACAACTCAATAGCCGTTCCAAATTTATAGTCAATAACTTACAATAAGTTTTAAAAAAAACCCATAATAATATAATAAAACCAAATAAGATGCCCCGCCAACACAGAGATAAGATTAGGTTAAACGGTACACATTCTAGTCAGTCGAGTTCGACATCCACTTATTGAAGGTCGGAAAGATGGGGTAGCAATGAAACTTTACACACTGAAAACATTTGCTCCTAGTATGACAATCATCATGTACGAGCTATAAGAATACATTCACTTAGTGCCATGGAATTCCCGATTGCTCAGTGTTGTTGACAGCTTGCAAACATGCAGAAAGCCCGTCAATTAAAAGTACTAGTAAATTCATCCTAAATTGTAAACAAAGAGAAACTTCAATAAATATAACAAACATTCTAGAAAAAATCGGGGCCATTTATTAACGTTTTAAAATATAATTGGGAAGTTTACTTTTAATTGAAGAACCATGGTGACCACAGTATAGGGCTAGTAAGCCGGCTCGTTCCGGGTATATCCGGTAAGTAGGGCACGTTGTCCGGATAAATCCGCATATTATTGTTATTGCCGGCCGCACCCGCGCTCCTTTACGCTAAGCATTACAACCTGTCACATTTCTTACTTTCCTATATCGGTTTAATACGAAACGCTGAGCAGTTTTTCACAACAAAACTCCACATTTATTCCGGAAAACGATTTATTCCCACTGATTTTCTTCAAATAGCCTCGATGAGACATCGCCGAAGTTGCTACGTAATGTCACAGTAATTAAATTGAAGTATGAACTGCGAAACGATTAAAAAATTTGGAAGTCATATTTGAGGTTAGTCTCACGTAGTGACTTCTTGAACTTTGATGGAATTACATCAGATCCGGTGGTAGATTTAGCGATGCACTGCTCTTGTTAGGACAGCGTTAACGATCCTCTCAGGCTGAGCCCGTGTGCTCACATACCGGTCCGCGTGAAGTTGGAATAGCCCCTTAGACTACCAACGATTAGGTAGAGAGCAAAAAGAATAGCATTGGGCGGTATGAGCAAACTGTAATTTTTTTTGTTTCAATGTTTTACTGGTGGTAGGACCTCTTGTGAGTCCGCGCGGCTGAGTACCACCACCCTGCCTATTTGTCGTAAAGCAGTAATGCGTTTCGGCTTGAAGGGGGGCAGCCGTTGTAGCTTTACTTGAGACCTTAGAGCTTATATCTCAATGTGGATGGCGTATTTACGTTGTGGATGTCTATGGGCTCCAGTAACCACTTAACACCAGGTGGGCTATGAACTCGTTCACCCATCTAAGCAATTAAAAAAAAAATCATTTTGTCACAAAGTAGCACGGCAGTCCCTTCACTGGGTGTTAGAACTCGACTCGAGGTCAGAGGGCTACATTTACGTTGTAACGTCTATGGGTTTCCTGCACAACTTACCACTGTGAGTTCTCGCAAGAACAAAAAACAATAGTAGCACTGACCTTAAGCCCAGGCATATTTCATGTTTCTTGTAATGTACCACTTGTGTTAATCATACCTAATTGATTTAACGGCTTAAACTCGCGGTTTTGTTGTCACTTCGCACGGAAGATTAGTTTCGTTGAAAGCCGCAAAGTATTTAATACTCCGAAAATGATATAATGATAGTAAACACCCGAGATTAAACCTTATGGTTCTTTTAATGAAGTCTACGACTCGTCAAAACTGATTATAGCACTACTTGTGTTATGGAGTGCGAGTGGCTACGTTTGAATTCAAAGCTAAAATCAGATGAAATATTTAATAAATGAGCAGAAGGCACATTGCATTTCAAATATCAAATATAACTTAGATACAATAAAGGAAAAAGGTTATCACGATCATTACTTCTTTGCCGCCAGTTTCTTTCTAANTGAAGTCTACGACTCGTCAAAACTGATTATAGCACTACTTGTGTTATGGAGTGCGAGTGGCTACGTTTGAATTCAAAGCTAAAATCAGATGAAATATTTAATAAATGAGCAGAAGGCACATTGCATTTCAAATATCAAATATAACTTAGATACAATAAAGGAAAAAGGTTATCACGATCATTACTTCTTTGCCGCCAGTTTCTTTCTAAGGGATTCTGGCATCTCTGCGGGAGGCGGCCGAGGCATACCCATTTTCACTTTGAAACCGTCATAAATAAACCATTGCAGTCCTGTGAGGGTGCCAATCATAATGATGCGAGCCACTAGACCTCGCCAGATGCCCATCGGCCCCACTTCGGCTATGATACCCCCGATCGAAGCCCCGGGGTCCTTGTTGAGCTTGGAAACGATCGTGTCAGCTGGATGCGACACTATAGCGCACAGCACCCCAGCTATGTACCCAGCTGTGAACGTAACGAGGAGCTGCTCAATCTTGGTGCACTGGTCACGAGGCTTGGGCACAACATTCTCATACAAGTACTCAAGAGTTTTCTCGAAAGACGCGAATTTCATCATAGTGTAGGGAATTTGTCGCCCCCATAACGGCACTAAGCCACGGTAAAAGACTCCAAAGCCTTCTGTGGCTAGCATGTGTGGCATGGCCTTCCGCATCTTTGACGTGTACCCCGGCGTTGTTTGTATCCGAACTTTAGTGGCTTCGAAAGGGGAAAGGAAGACATCAGCTATGCATTCGGCCGATGCTGCAGCAGCTAAATACAGGTAAGTTCTGTATAAGTACGCAGATTCTTCATCAACCATTTTGGAGAATTTGTACTTGAAGTATTCGTAGCCAGCAAATTTTGACGAACCTTGCATAGAATAACCTATGAGCGTAGGTGCCCAGCCTTTTACGAGGTTAGCAGCGCCGCCTTCTTTGATAGATATCCCGAATCCTTTAAATATGGATTTGTATTTGGCCGGGTCAACTTGCAGGCGGCACTTGACCAAGTCCAGAGGTGTAACGAAGGTATGCGTGATCCCGCAAGCACAGGCGCCTCCGTAAGCGCACAGCATGAAGTATTTGTTGCTGTACATCTCACAAGAGAACTCTTCTTTGGGCTTCTTCGACATTTTGCGCACAGTACCAGAAGAACGCCGACCCCAAAAATACTTTCAACGCTATTTAACAAATATTAAATGCGTTTATTGAATTTTTTACGTGACATGTTGACATGACAGAGGATTTGCTTTTAATGTGACAAAATATTGTTAGAGGTTTGAGTTACGCGCGTCAGGCGGCGCATTTTTCGTAATCTCTCAGTAATTCTGTTTTTTTTATTTATTTCACAACTGAATTTATTTATTTAAAAGTATTTATATTGTTTATGTTTGTGAACCGTTTTAGATTTTTATGCGCTTTATGTAAAAAGGCCACTTCGATAATAGATTGTGATCTTTGATGTTCATTAATGTTAATAGGATTTTAAAAGTTTATTTATAAGACCATGCAAAATCTGCAAACAAATAAGAGGCCTATTAAACAATTTTTTTTATTGCATAGGCGGGCAATCGCGTCCACAGCCTACCTGGTGTTAAGCGGTTACTGGATTCCATGTACATCAACGTGAATATTGCCACCCACCTTGAGACTTGAGGTCTATAGTAAACACAAAATATTCAATACACAAAATAATTAATTCTATAGTAAATACACAAAAAATATTTTTTTGGGTTTGATTTTTACTAAAAGATGTTTTATGCCTTCATTGTGGAAGTAATTCGTAAAAATTTGTGAAGTGTGTATTGCAATAGAGAAATTGGTACTTCTTTTTTAGGCGTATACCCGGATATCCATTCACGGATACCCGGTCGAGGGAGGTAACCGACCGGGTTATATCGGATTCTGGCGCCTCCAGAGAGGAAAAGGTGAAATTGGTACCTGCCTGCGAGATTCGACCACTGCCACAATGCACCGTACGAGTGCACATCAGTATTAATGCCCGGTAATAAACCCAACTCGTAAATTAGCATAACTACTGTAAGATCTTATCATTAGTCCCCCCAGTAGGAGGTATCTCCACCTCGCACAATCATCAGATATTAAGTTAAGTATATTAAACAATATAAAAAAACAAATAGGATTTCGACATGATGATTCAAGGTGATGACGTGTACGCTATAATATCTAAGGACTGCGGTAATCACTTAATAACCGATGGGTCGGAAGCTCGTTTACATATGTATCGTAACCAAATTTTACATTTATTAGAACTAGAGCAGTCTTTTCCAATGTGGGCGATAACGCCCCCTTGTGGGCGCTGCAGGCCTAAAGGGGGCGGCAAGAGACCCAGAAAAAAATGGGGCGTTTTGTAGAGGCTTGGGAGGCGATTTGTTATTTCATCTAGAATGACTCTTAGACACCGACTAAGCTCTCGCTATAGTTGTTTTTAAGTAGGTGAAAAAATGGGGGCGCTAAAAAATAATTTATTCCCAAAGTGGGCAGTAGACAAAATAAGTTTGGGAAGCCCTGAACTAGAGGGATATTTTGAAGTCAGAATAACATTCATGGTTAAAGTAACATCAAATACAACTTGGAATTATAAATTTTATTATTTCCGCATACACTTAACGCCTAAAGTTAAAAGTATAAACTAATTGTATTATAACCTATTTTTTTATTAAAAATTATAATCATATAAATTGTATACACAATATTTACAAAAACATTACTATTGCATCGACCTTTGTACTTACGTTAATTAAAACAAAAATCCGGAAACATTATTGTTTAGGTCAATCTAAAAACACGCGTTATTGAAAAATATTTTAAGAAAAAATAATTAAATAAATATTAAACTTAAAAATGGTAAATAATCTATAATAAATGAGAAATCACTGGTTTCGATGTAAAATTAGTGATGTGTCGTTGACGATATTCAAGTTATCGATATCATTTCGTCGATATGTGGACGTCGACATGATCGTTTAAAACTAGATTTCAGGGATTCGCCACATTAATACTGCCGGTGATGTAGCTACTACACACAGGTGGCTACGGGCTGCTGGCTTCCAGATTATAATCTCACGTAATTTTATTTTTCCAGGAGTCGTAAATTTAACATCCATTTGCCAGACGGCTCGGACAGTGAGATTTTTTTTTAAATTCAACAACCATTACAGACGTGTTCTAATTTATAATGCTTTTGAGAATATTTGTTAAAACAAGTCAAAGATTTTTTTGAAACGTTTCAAATTCAAATATGTAAAAATATTTTTGTTTGTAGGTATAAAATGTCGTGTCATTCAGATTGTGTATTAATCAATTTAGTTTGCAAACATATTTGAACATGATGAATAATGAATGGTGAAGTTTTTTTTTTAATTTTGACAATATACAAAAGTATAAAAATGTATTCTCGACACAGTTATGCCAACTTTAAAATTTCATTATAAAATTTAATAATATAATACCCCTATTCTCTTTCCATTCATTTTTTTTTTTCAATATTCGACAAGGCAGTGTATCGTTCACAATACGGTGACCGTGGCAGTGTCCTGGATGTACCAGCAGGAGTCACCGGTTCCAATCATCACAACAGTTAAGGTCGGCGCGAACAGTAGCCGGAGGTCCGCCGTTCGCTGACGTCGACAACGATCAGTGCTTGTGGTCTGGTGAAATGTCAACGGACACGTACAGTCTGACCGGCGGCTGCGAGGACGTGACGTCACGCCTCATGCGGCGAGGGGACACGAAGCGGGCCTCGATCTCCAGCTGCGCGCGCAACGCGGCGTCCCGGGGCAGCTGCTTGCGGAGCCGCAGCGCCCAGGCGCCGTCCCGCTTGGACAGCGTGAACAGGCGGTCCGGGTCGCCGTACGCGATGCGGTAGTGGGGGCGGGGGCGGGGCGCGGCGGGGGTGAGGCGCAGCAGGGGGGCGCGGGCCCACGTGCGCTCCGGCCGCGACCGAACCACCACCAGCTCCGCTTCCGGCTCCAAGACTGACCTGCGACCTGCACCACAACAACGTTTACAATTATTACGCGTTATAACAATACTTTGAAGGCTCAGCTTCAAAGAATTGGCTAAGACTAATCCTAGCAAAACAATGCTCCACCAGATCGGAATCGCGATCCACCGAGAAAATCCGGTAAGAACTCAGTGGATTATATTTCATGTATATAAAATTGTAAAAATATCTCAACACTTATATTTGAAAATAATAGCTTATGGCCAATTGGTCATGTGCAAATTGTTATGGCAAATTGTGATTTTGAAATATTGTGGCCGTACAAAACTGGTACTTTATAAAAATATATTCAAAACGATTCGAAGCATAATCAAAGTCGCCTTCATCATAATATAACCTATCAATTGTAATTATAAATCTATCTATCTTTTAGCCCACAGATGTCCACTGCTGAACATAGGCCTCCTCGAAGTCTGCGCTGCCTCCACCCAGCAAATTCCCGCGACCTTCGACAGGTCGTTGTTTCACCTTGTGTCCAAAATCTCTTCGTTCCTGATTCCACGTCACCGGTAAGCTCCGTGTCTCCATTACCTAGCTAACCTTGAGCTTTCTGACCTGACCCATTGTGAGCGACCACGTGTATATACTATTGACTCACTTCGACTGCGCCGTTTCCGTTTCCTCATGAGCGTCGTTCCGTTCGCGTAGATGACGGCTTCGTCCGGTGTTCTCCGGTGTCGGCCGTTCACCTATTACAGCAATTTTGGTCATAATTTGTACCTCGCAAGTAACGTCGGACCTCTCATAGCAATTCACATAAATAAAATCGATCATTAAAAATTAAAATCCGTCCAGATATAACATAATTAAAATTTTAAGGAGATAGGAAACGTACTACTTTGAACAATGACGTCATCGTTTACTTGCACTTTACAGACAATACTGACACTCGCTTTACGAAAGGGACAGAGCATCGGGGGGAAGTTTTTTCGAAAATTTGCAGTGATCGTCCATTTTTTAAGTTATTGCATAGATTTTATCGCGGGCTTTGAGCACGGCGACTGAATCAAGAAATTCCGTAACGAAAATAACCTGACACCCCCACTACGCCTACTATGTAGCTCGCGTTCAACACATTCACATGTTGCGCTTCTGTAATGTTTGTGAATAAGCGCGTGGCGTGACGTTACACTGCATGCGCATCATGAAAAGTCTGCCCATCTCTCTCTGACGCGGTCTAGCTTATGGGTGTGAAGGGGACAGTTAATGTTTTGCTTTTATTAATGTTTAATATAGCGGGGTCTTGTTTTATTATTGTTTTAATATTAAATTATCATTGTCTAATTACAATTGCATGAGTTGATAAAAAATGCTATGCAATAGCTTTACCGCGGCAGTTCCCGAGTGCCACACGTTTTTTTTTTACCTATGCTGATTGATAGCCTTGAGAAGCTATATCAGCTTCTCCTTGACGTGTAGGTGAGCTCACAGGGCTCAAGCCGGGTGTGTTGCTAACACTGGCCCTAGCAAGAGCAGTGCTTCGTAGAATCTACCACCGGATCGGTAACGCGACCAACTGAGAAACTCAGTGGGTTGTGTCTATGGGGTAATTCACTCGTCGAGCCCTTCGTCGCAAGCGGCGGGTTCGGCGAGCATGGTGGCCGGTGCTTGTGGTACCTAAAAGCACCATTAATGTATCGGGAGGATCCGTAACGACGTGTTTAGGGCGACGTCGACTGTTTACGATTCGGTCTACAGGATCGGGTATGTAATTCTCGACGGCCACGGGTTCTCATGTCGTGCCGCCTTCTCAAAGTGGCGCAATCGTCCATGAAACTGGCTTAGTACTTCGGTATTCTCTAACAGCCGAATTAAATTCGTATTTGCTTCTAACATAAGCAAGTCATTCAGCAGTCATAGTGTCCTGGTCCGCCGCCGAGCAGTAAGGCGGATCCGTGACGTCAGAGCGCGCACCTTACAACTGAAGCAGCCTTCGGTGGAGATGAGGTCCTGCTGGCCGCCCAGCTTGTACTGGTCGTGCAGCGGGAACACGGGCGCGTCCCCGATGTCGTCCGGGGACAGCGAGCCGTCCGCGCCCGCCAGACAGTGGCCGGCCACCAGCGCGTACCCGCCCGGACAGCCGCACTCGAACGAGGACCCGAGCGACCGGCATCCGAACAGACAGTTCGCTGTGGCGCAGCCGCCGCCCAGCTGCGCGACCACCACAATATCACACTTAAATAACTTTTATTGCAGGCCAAGTGGAAGATCTCAAAAATGTAACAAAAGAAGCTATCGATTATTTCATAAACTGTAAATTTAAATTATAACCACGCAGTGTAAGCGAATGCCATACGATAAATAAATAAATAATAACTTTTAGCCCTCATTCGCACGGGAGTTTTAAAAAACGTTGCGTTAAAACTCGGCGTTGGCGCTTTTATAACATTCTCGATGTGACGCTTAGCGCTCAAAATGCAACACTGCACAATAGAAAAGCGTCGCGTTTTAAAAGCGCTGACGTATGAACATAATAATATACTAGGAAATGCATCTGTTCTATCCCGTGCGAATGAGGCCTTTAGTCTCGTGTTTTTTGTCCTGAGTTCCGAATATTTTACAGCTTTTGTGAGCATGTGGTAATAAAGCCCTAAGCATATTAATAGTTTTTTTTATTTTATTAAAGGTATTTTTTTATTGCATAGATGGGTGGACGAGCTCACAGCCCACCTGGTATTAAATAGTGACCGGAGCCCATAGACATCTACAATGGAAATGCCGCCACCCACCTTGAGATATGAGCTCTATGGTCTCAATATAGTTACAATGGCTTCCCCACCATTCGAAGCGAAACGCACTACTGCTTCACGGCAGAAATAGGCAAGGTGGTGGTACTTACCCGTGTGGACTCACAAAAGGTCCTACCATTAGTAAGAATTATATTATACTTATTATTTTAATGACCAACAAACATTATTAATTTATTTTATTATTCAAATCAAAACCAATGAAATCTAGGACAGAATGCTGAAGTATTACCTGTAGGCAGACAGCATGAGAGGCATCCCAGCCGTACCCTGGGGGACAGCCGCAGCGGTAGACCCCTCCCACCGGGAAGCAAGGAGACGCGCCGCACTCCGCGTTCGAACACGGGTCCGCCGGCACGCAGGCCCCGCCCGGCGACCGCACCGTGCCTGCGGGGGGAAACGTATTCATACATCTGCATTGTAACAAATACATTCAATTTTTATATTGACTTCAAATAAATACATTTAATTTACTAGCTAGAAAAACACGTTACAATAACATCACATACTAAAAAATTAAATAGTAATTTTTATCCTCGAGCGATCCGTGCTGGATACTAGGCTGAAGAAATAAAAATACTGTATCATCAAGTCCGGGTACCTTGGCACGTGTGTGTATTTTCAAATTAATTAAACGACTTGAAGTTCAAAGGTTGAAAAAATATCGCTAATGATGTCACAAAAATATACGTAGTTTTGATTATAAAATGTAAGCGGATTATTAACCATGGGCACTCAAAAACGCGTTTTTATTAATAACTAGCTGACCCGGCAGACTTCGTAGCGCCCAAATTGATAAATAAAAGATCTACGCTTTTGTATAAAATAAACTTAAAACAAACAAAAGGAATCCGTCCGACGGGGGACACATCAAAGCAAAATTGTTATTCTTATGTAATTCCGAGCATTTTCATATGTATCTACCTTTTAAGCCTTCTCTGGACTTCCACATATAATCTAAGACCAAAATTAGCCTAATTGGTCCAGCCGTTCTCGAGTTTTAGCGAGACTAACGAACAGCAATTCATTTTTATATATATAGATAGAAGATAGATATGCCTTATAATGAGTAATATTGTTGAGAGAATGTTTGTGATGTAAAGGATCCGGCGGACATACCGACGGGGCAGTCACAGCGGTAGCCGCCGGCGTAGTTCCGGCAGGGCGCCTGGCAGCGGCCCGTCTGCGCGCACTCGTCGCGGTCCACGCACCGCGCGCCCTCCGCGTCCAGCCGGTAGCCGCGCGGACACACGCAGCGGAACGAGCCCAGCAGGTTCACGCACCGCCCCGGGGACGGACACACGCCCTCCTCGTGACACTCGTTTATATCTGGCCGGGATACATTACGTATTATTGCGCAGCACGTACGCACCGGCTAGGCACGGATCAGGCCCAAATCTATGAGTTCTATTGGTCTCATTACCTATTCATTTCAGTATAGAATTTACGGACAGAAGATAATGTTACTTGTCATATTATCACCTTGAGTCGTGAGGTCATAGTCTCAATTATTTTGCAATAGCGCCAGCACTAATTTAGCTATAAGACTGAGGATCTGCTCTGCCACGGCAGTAGAAAGGACTTTAGTGTCTATACTATTTTGAAAAAAAAAGTGTGTGTGTGTGCAAGTCACACATGGTAGGAGCGAAACTTAAAAATAAGATATAGATATACTGACTATCCCACTACACAGGAGCATAATTATAGACAATGTTTAGTAGACGATAGTGGGGATGCTACGATGTCGCACAAAGAGGAGACCGAGAACGTCTAATGTTGTTGGTCTCATTCTCTCGCCGGCTGAACCCTATACATTTATGTGTTTGTGTCTCTATGGACTCATTTTTTCGTTTCATCCAGTTTGAAATCACAACGATTCTAAAGAAGTTTCACTTCAAAAAGCTATGAAATATTGTATTAGTTAATGAAATTTCCAATTATGTAGAAATCGGATAATCGAGCCATTTTATTTAGATTAAAATAATATTCGACATTTCGACCACGGAAAATCATAACAGTACAAAATACTAACCGACACACGCATCACCCCTCTTCTCATACCCGTCCTCGCACGAGCACTCATAGGAGCCCTCGGTGTTGGAGCAGATCTGCTGGCANAATATTGTATTAGTTAATGAAATTTCCAATTATGTAGAAATCGGATAATCGAGCCATTTTATTTAGATTAAAATAATATTCGACATTTCGACCACGGAAAATCATAACAGTACAAAATACTAACCGACACACGCATCACCCCTCTTCTCATACCCGTCCTCGCACGAGCACTCATAGGAGCCCTCGGTGTTGGAGCAGATCTGCTGGCACGTATGTGTGTCTCGCTCGCACTCGTCCACGTCGCGGCAGTTGGCGCCGTCCTCGTCCAGCTCGTAGCCGGTGCGACAGAGACAGTCGTACGAGCCGTCCGTGTTGTGGCACAGCTGGTCGCACGGCGGCGGCCGGACCGCGCACTCGTCCACGTCCGCGCACACCTCACCCGCCGGACGGTACCCGGGCCCGCACACGCAACGGAAACTAACACGCAACAACGTCAATTTTACCCATCCCCGCCTATTTTACTGGTGGTAGAAACTCTTGTGAGTCCGTGCGGGTAGGTACTACCACCCTCCCTATTTCTGCCGTGAAGCAGTAATTCGTTTCGGTTTGAAGGGTGGGGCAGCCGTTGTAACTATACTTGAGACCTTAGAACTTATATCTCAAGGTGGGTGGTGCATTTTACGTTGTAGATGTGTATGGGCTCCAGTAACCACCTAACACCAGGTGGGCTGTGAACTCATCCAACCATCTAAGCAATAAAAAAATGACCACACTTTTAAGAGCGGTATGCGAGACATCTATAAATTTTCAACAAATATTCATCATAAGGTCAGTTACAGAATGTCCATAGCATATGTCCTCCAAGTACCCAATAGAAGCATGTTTACAATCGTCTTAGGGTGACCTTCCTCACCACCACACACAACAAGTGTTGAGAAATGAAATAATTATTTCATGTTATTGACAATATAAATAGGTCTGAAAAACCATTAACAAGAACTGATACAACCGTCTCATCTTTTACCTAACCTAACTGCCTCACTAGCTCCCATACTGATTTGATAAATCTAGATCTACTATTTTCAGAGATCTAATGAATAAAGAGCAGACATTTTATTAAGAAACAGAAAGTAGCATTTGTGTTTACCTTCCAATAGTGTTGACACACCGTCCGGGTGCACACAGCCCTGGGATTGCGGCACACTCGTCAACATCAGCGAACACATCTAACGACCCGCCCGAGCCCCCATGCGACCCTCCGGAGCCCCCGCCTCCTCCGTGGCCTCCTTGTCCCCCGGGGGTCAAGTTCACCGCGGTACACAGATCGAGTCTCGCCGGGGAGCCGGGTGCAGGACACAGTTCGCATTCTGATCCCCACGCCGCTCCCAAGGTACAGCAGCACTGAGCCCTAAAATGAGCACCGCAAATTTTAGCTTTAACAAACTCTGTAATATCAGAAAATAGTATCCAATACAAAAATATCTATACATATATTATATTAAGACAAATAATTATTATGATTGAAACATTACTGGTGACCCGGAGGTCTTTCCAGTTTCACCAGGACAGGCGGGCGAGCAAAGGCTCAGCCAGGAGGGGTAGGATTTGCTAACATCTGCCCGAGGGCCAACAACTCGAGAGCATCTGCTTCGCGAATGAATCTACTACCGGATCGGAATCGCGACCCGCTGAGAAGATCCGGCGAGAAACTCAGCGGGCTGATGCATGATTTAGGTTGCACGTCGATCTATTTGTCGAGTTCGACGAGTACGGTTACCGGGGTTAATTAATTTTTTTCAGACTCACAAGAGGTCCTACCACCAGTAGCAGCAAGTCAGTAGACTTATAAATATACGTGTGTGTTTTAATCTCGCATAAAATATGAATCTGGCGAAGTCTCGGCATGTCGCACAAACATCCAGGAGTGGGGGAGAGACTTACTTGGTGACGTGTCCGGGCGCGGGGGGGCCGGGGGAGGCGGCGGGCGCGGCGGACGTGGCGGGGGCGGCGCGCGGCCAGGGTTCCGGCTCGCAGCGCCCCGACACCAGCGAGCGGTAGCACGTGCCCGTGCGACGGTCTACACACACACAACGACATGTTCTATATTATCAGTAGACAGTAGTCACCGTTATTTCAATTAATTAATAATTTGTAGAAACAAGACCTCGTACTGGAAGTCGTAACGTGAGTACACAAAAAATGAGACCGACTTGGTCAAAATAGCTGGTAGGGACTGGATGCGAAAGACCGGCGAAAACCGACGGCAAAAGACCAAAGAGAATGGAGTGCATTTGAAGAGACCTACACTCAGCATTGGGTGGACACGAATTGAAGAAGAAAGAAAAAAGGGTTCGCAAAATGTAACTAATATTGGTTGCACTGGTCCTCACATCAGTTATCATAAATCATTTACAATATGCATTAAGATAAATAAACTTGAACAATAAAAACTTAAGTAATATTTACCAAGGTTGGGATAACCTTGATGAGTCTTGATTCTAAATTCCTGGGGCCCGCTGTGACGTCGCTACAATGTATTATTTTAATTTTCAAACTCACCAATACAGTCGGTTCCATCTTCGCTGGGTTCGAACCCGGCGTCGCAGTCACAGAGGAAGCTCCCGTCTGTATTGATGCAGACTCCTCCCGAACATAGGTCTTCTTGTTCTTCGCACTCGTTGATATCCTCGCAGGCATTCTCAGAGTCCTGCGGGGCCGAGGTACGACGATATCCTGTACACAAGCAACAACTATTAATTGCAGGGTAGTTTTCTAATACAAACTTTTCGATTGCTTTGTGAACACACGTAAAAAATGGTTTCATCTACTTCAATAAATCATAATTTCATTCGAACGTAGCCACTCTCACTAACGCGCGGGAGGCGAGGACGCTTGCGGGTGGAAGACAGCGCGCGCGGGGTGCCTTGTCTCCACGCCCCGCGTACGTCCCGCTGATACCTGATTTTGTGTTCTGCGCAGCATAATGCGGCTAGGTTCGGAGCGGCCATAAAGTTTGGCGAGTACTATACGACAAGTTCCACTGAGCAGGCGTCAGTGTTACGTACCTTCCGGACACTTGCAGATGTAGGAGCCGACGACGTTCTCGCAGGCGTGCGGACACACGCGCGGCTCCTGCGCGCACTCGTCGATGTCGCGGCAGTGCACGCCGTCCGCCGCCACGGCGTACCCGTACGGGCACGTGCAGCGGAACGAGCCGGCCGTGTTGTGGCACCGGAACGTGCACGACGCGCGCCCCTCCGCGCACTCGTCCACGTCCACGCACGTCTGCACACACACAGACCAGACGGGGGGTAGTAGCGACCACGGCGGGGGGAGCCCCGAACTCGCGTGCCTATCTTCTATACTAATATATAAATCTACAGTGGTTTTTACGGATGTTCCGTTATAACTACTGAACCATGCATCTGATTGACTTGAAACTTGGTATCCATGTAGAAAAAACATGTACAATTCTGGATAGGCTAATATTTATATGAGCGTTGGACTACCTACACCAGTTGCGGGGGCGTTTATGATGAGGATCTTTTGTGGGGGTGAGAAATAATAATGTTAATTTTAAATGCCCAGCGAAGCGAACGGATTCAGCTAGTAGTTAATAAGACAAATTGAAGCCGAGCTTCATATTCATATGAGAACCAATTCAAGAAATTCCTAAACACATACATACTATCAAACTTGTTTCCAAGTTGTTCCGATTTTTTTAACAATTCACTTAGCAAGAAGTTTCTGCACGAGTTCTCACAGTAATCTACCTGCAATGTTATGACTGACAGTTACATTCAAACAGTTAATTGTCTCCCGACGTTAGCTGAGAAAAGTAATAGGATATCGGACTGTTACAGACTCCACATGTTAGTTAAAGTAATGATACATCTCTTTCAATCACCACTGGTGCTGAGTAAGCATTGGAAAAATCTCTTGGTAATAGTTACCGACCGAGAGTCAATCAGTCGTATTTAGTCATCCATCGGAAGCGGTCTTAGACAATATCTCCTTTCTGCCAATTTCCATAATTTAATTGTTTGTGTAATTGAACTAATAAAAGTGAAATCTCTTTTTCAAAAATCCTTTTTTTTTAAACCTAATCGGGAGACCCGCATAACAGGACCATTGAGACACACCTGATCCGGTCCCTGCGTGAAGCCAGGGCTGCACTGACACTCGTAGCCTCCGCGCGTGTTGGAGCAGGTCCCGTTGCCGCAGATCCTGGGGTCTAGGGCACACTCGTCCGCGTCCACACAGGACAGCCCGTCCGGGGCGAGCACGTAGCCGTCCGGACACTCGCAGCGGAACGAACCGTCCGTGTTGACGCACCGCCCGCCCACGCACACGTCGGGGCGGACGCGACACTCGTCTAGATCCTGGACCACGACAATACCATACTATATTTTCACAACATTGTCACATTTGGAACCTCTGGGTCTGCGGAGGGACTTCGGTTCCCTCTGTATTTTGTACCGTTTGTTCCATGGGGAGTGCTCTGAGGAATTGTTCGAGATGATACCAGCATCTCGTTTTTACCATCGCACCACCCGCCACCGGAGTAGAGTTCATCCATACTACCTGGAGCCACTGCGGTCATCCACAGTGCGTTTCCAGAGATCTTTTTTGCCACGTACCATCCGGCTATGGAATGAGCTCCCCTCCACGGTGTTTCCCGAGCGCTATGACATGTCCTTCCTCAAACGAGGCTTGTGGAGAGTATTAAGCAGTAGGCAGCGGCTTGGCTCTGCCCCTAGAATTGCTGAAGTCCATGGGCGACGGTAACCACTCACCATCAGGTGGGCCGTACGCCCGTCTGCCTACAAAGGCAATAAAAAAAAAACATATGTATGAAATTTACAACTAATAAAAAACTACGAAACAAATGGCTTTTTGCTGTACGCAATTAATCTTTTTTTTCTTAACTGGGTGGACGAGCTCACGGCCCACCTGGAGATATGAGTTCTAAGATCTCAATATAGTTACAACGGCTGTCCCGCCCTTCAAACCGAAACGCATTACGGCCTTGCACAGCAGAAATAGGAATGATGATCGTACCTTCCCGCGCGAACTCACAAGACGTCCTACCACCAGTGAGAGAGAATTAAACAAGGGAGCCACTGTTGTACCCGACAAAAAATGTGATTTCAACAGCATTCCAATAGTAAATGGCTCCGAACATAAGCTCTGTAACAATCAAAGCAACGAGGTTACCTGTGTAAGATTGGGTCTTCCCATTCCACCTTGACAGATCCTCATGAACTCAGCGGAGTCCGGCGCCGGACAGCGCTCACAGTAACGGCCCCAAGCAGCACCTGTAATGAAACACATCAGGCTTCACTTAAAACTACTTGTATATATGTGTTCTTGCGTAGCTTAGGGGTGGCAGCGGCTGTCCCCCCACTCGGCACGCTAGCAGTCCACCTTTAGCCTTTTACCCTTCGACATGTTTTTTTATTATTATTTTTATTGCTTAGATGGGTGGACGAGCTCACAACCCACTTGGTGTTAAGTGGTTACTGGAGCCCATAGACATCTACAACGTAAATGCGCCACCTACCTTGAGATATAGGTTCTAAGATCTCAGTATAGTTACAACGGCTGCCCCACCCTTCAAACCGAAACGCATTACAGCTTCACGGCGTATTTAAATGTGGGTACGTTTAAAATTGTATCTACAAAAAACGAGCTTTTTTTAAGAGATTTTATAACCTGGTAACTGAGACGATCAACTCAAAAAAAACGACTCAACAAAAAACGATCAATCTCGTCACTGTTTGGCGGACGTGCGAATCGAATCTATTCAGTTAATTGTGGTCACAAATCACGACTCAATCAAGTATACTGGTGGTAGGACCTCTTGTGAGTCCGCGCGAGTAGCCACCGCCGCCCCGCCTACTTCTGCCGTGAAGCAGTAATGCGTTTCGGTTTGAAGGGTGGGGCAGCTGTTGTAACTATACTGCTAGCGCGACCCTCAGACACAGCCCACTGAGTTTCTCGCCGGATCTTCTCAGTGGGTCGCGTTTCCGATCCGGTGGTAGATTCTGCGAAGCACGGCTCTTGCTAGGGTTCGTGTTAACAACGTGGTCAGGTTTGAGCCCCGTGAGCTCACCTACTAGTTAAGGTTACTCTGATATAGCCTCACAAGGCTATCAGCTTAGGCTTAAAAAAAAAAGCTAGCACATGTGGGAGGTACTCACCCTCAGAGCAGCAGCACTCCGGTCTCGCGAGCTGCAGGGGGCGCGCGCGGTGGCAGCGGCCGGCCTCCCACTCGTCGTAGCAGAGCTCCTTGCGCTCGTCCACGCACACGGCCGCCGTCTTGTCGAACCGCCAGCCCGCCGGACACTCGCAAACGTATCTGCGAAGCATCCAAATATCTTGACACAAAATGGTACTGGTGGTAGGACCTCTTGTTTTACTGGTGGTAAGACCTCTTGTGAGACTTGACTCGACTTGATTTACGTTGTAGATGTATATGGGCTCCAGTAACCACTTAACACCAGGTGGGCAGTGAGCTCGTCCACCTATCTAATCAATAAAAAAAAAAAGATTTGTTTGATCTCAACATCGTCTGTCAAATGACGCATCGCTCGCCTTCATCCTTGAGCTGATGAGCACAATTTATCCCTGAAATCGTTTCTCAGTTCAACAGTGTGCATCTACCTATCATTTTTCTTAGACGTAAAATGTGTTCAAGTCAAAAAAAGACAGAAAATATGGAGATTTTTACCAAACGGCTTTTCGCCAAACTAAATGTAGTGGAGGAGACAAAAGCGCAAATACTCCGTTGGGTGGATTACCGAGTCGGAATTCGGATGTATCCCAATAAGAATCTAACTAAGGCCCGTTGAAGATGTACTCACCCTCCATTAAAGTTTCGGCACTCTCCTCCGGCGCACACGTAGGGCAGCTCCTTACATTCGTCGCGGTCCACACATCGCCGCCCTACTAACTTCCAGCCCGCGCCACATGAACATTCGTATCTGAAAAAACATCATTTACTTATCTTATTTTCTGTTCGAAATTGTATTGTTTTCAATGGCGGATCCAGGGGGAGGGTCATGAGGGTCATGACCCCCCCTGAGCTAGTTCCAGGGCTTAGGTGGACCACTAATTGAACATCATGATTTTTACTTGTATCTATTGTTATCAAAATTAAATTATAAGTTCTTGACTTGACCACGACTATGTGACCCCTCCTGGCGCCAAAGCTAGATCCGCCCTTGATTGTTTTATATTGAAATAATATTTCAACAACAATTAAACAACTGTATTCTTACCCTCCATTAGTGTTAGTGCAAGAGGGATTCCCGTCCCTCCCGCAGGGGTGCGGCAGTTCGTCGCACTCGTCTACATCGCGGCAGTTGCGTCCGTCGGCCGTGAGTGTGTACCCGGGCGCACACTCGCAGCGGAACGAGCCCACCGTGTTCCGGCAGCGACCGTTGCGGCAGACCATGCCGCCTTCACGACACTCGTTCACATCTGTGTCACACGACAAATACACAATTTTCAAAGAGAACAAGGGACCAATATTGGCAGCTTCGTTCCACGGATAAGTAGTTTCATTTAATATCATCCCAGTTGATTAATGTCTTAAATTAATCATCTTCATTTCACTCCATATTATCATTTTTCATAAAATCAAGAATATAAATTAAAATAAGATATGACTTAAAGGTCTTAGTTACCAGGTCATAAAATCCCTGAAAAAAACAGATAATTAGTCCAGCGGTCCGACAGCACTAGAGGGGGGTGCTTACCGACACAGTCGTTGTTGGGTCCCGCCTTAAAGCCGTCGTCGCAGTGGCACAGGTACGCGCCTGGCAGGTTCTCGCACGTACCGTTCCTGCAGACGGGCCGCGGCCGCGAGCACTCGTCCACGTCGCGACACACGTTCTCCCGGAGAGTGTACCCGGGCTTACATTCGCATCTGAAACGGTCAAATGTACATGACAGACTGACTAATGACAATTCGTCGTAGCTTGTCGATGGTCAAGGTCGTCAAGCTAGCGTGTCTGTGGAATATAATAAAAAAAAAAGCCTTTATATTTCTTGCAATCAATAATAGCAATTCTTATAATACATTTTTTTTACTTATTGGCAAGAACTTCGCCTCGAGTGAAAACCTCCTTCGTGGAATATGATACTGACAATTTATTCCAGGGGTCCCTAAGTCTTCTTGTTTGTCAAGATGTTACTCGAGCCTAATATCTACGACAGACCTCACTGCTGTTTAAACAACTCATTTCTGATTGAGTTAAAACTATGTACAATATGAAGCTCGTAATTGCGGGTCGCTTTGAAGGCAAGCGCGCCGTGGGCACAGCAATAGCTATCAGTATCAATAGATGATCAGATCTAGTGAGGGAAGCACTTGATGGTAGTCTGTACCATGCCGTCCATGCCACCCATGACCGAACACTGTGGAGGAACGTCACATGACGTCTGTCGGTACCGCAGTCCTCTCGGCGTACAATCTATAACGTATTTTAATATATGCTTATCACTAGTATTCTATACGACGGGGTACCTGTAAGAGCCGATAGTGTTCCTGCAGTCCCCGTGGTCGCAGATGCGTTGGTCGCCACACTCGTCCACGTCCTCGCACTCGTCCAGGGAGGGCGTGAGGCGGTACCCGGGCGGGCAGCGGCACTCGAAGGCGCCCGGCAGGTTCACGCACTGCGCCATGCCGCGGCAGGGCGGCCTGCCCCACGAGCACTCGTCCACGTCCCGGCACAGGTGCGATGTGTTGTCGTGCTCGTACCTGGCATGTGAACACACACCCACTTACTTACTCGACCACATTCAGTCTATTGATGTTTTAAAATATCAAGTATTGTAATTTCAAGGGAATGTTAGTGGGACGCTAGGGCGGCGGTAGATTACAATTGTTTTGCAATCAATTTTGTTGTTAGTAAGTAAGTTAGTAAAATATTATTATTTTTGAAAGTTTATATCTTATTATACATAATGTTTACAGCTTTTTATCTGTAGCCAAGTATGTCATTGAAACAAACTCACCCATGATCACATCCGCACTGGAACCCAGTGGGCGTATCGTGGCAGGTACCAGGCTTGCAGAGCTGCGGCATGATGTCGCACTCGTCGATGGGCTTGGTCTCATTGGTGACAGGGTTGATATACTCCCCTGGCTTCTCGCCGCACAGGGCCGTGTGTGCCGGGGACCCCCGCGGGGGACACGCCTCGCACGGCGCTCCCCAGGCGTGCCCCACAGAGCAGCAGCACAAGTACTTGGTCTGCGGGACCCCCACCGCCCCCGCACAGCTCTGGTCCTCCTCGTTCCACTCCATGTAGCATTGTCGTTGTCTCACGTCCACGCATTCCTCTGTGCGGACGGAAGTACACATTCATTTCAAATCAATCTAGTTAAGAGCCGTAATTTTTTTGTTTCAATTATATTTAAGAAAAATCTTTGTTTTTATAGCAGTCAAGATCTTAAACATATTAAGCATTTAGCATTTTTATTTATACGCTATCAAACCTCGGTACACTATCTCACGGTAGATGAGCCGATAAGTACGGAATAGAGCTCATCACTTGTCCATTTAACTATCTTAGATCAAAGGAAGAACTGAATCTTCAGTCTCATGTTAGTTAATAGGTTCTGTGGAAGGTACTGACTTCCGTTGGGCATGGCGACGTATCCCTCTGGGCACAGACACACGTAGGAGCCGGGCAGGTTGCGGCAGACCCCGGGCCCGCACACGTCGGGTCGCTCGCACTCGTCGTCGTCCTCGCAGCTCAGCTCGTCGGGCGCCAGACTCCAGCCCGCGCCGCACGTGCACACGAACGAGCCGAACGTGTTGGTGCACGTGCCGTGCGCGCACAGGCCCTCGTGCGCGGCGCACTCGTCGATGTCGGCCAGCGTCACCACGTACGACGGCTGTCGGCCACAACAGTTGGTCAGTGTCTCCGCGGGACGGCGACGTTCTCAACCGTACACTTCATTTCAATCATATCAATAGGTGTAGGTTCCCTTTTTTTTAATTATGAACAATTTAATTGACAATAAATATTTTCGGGAATAAAAACAAACTTTGGATAAAAATCAGACAAATAATAATAGTAGCGTGACATACCGGTTCTAGTACCGGCTGGTACCCCGGTCCCCCTGGACACAGCTGGCGGTAGGCCTCGGAGCCCGGCTCCGGACACGGGTCGCAGTAGTTGCCCCACGCCGCTCCTACACAACACAACTATCTATTGTTATCTTATACATTATTAACCAAAATAACCCGCCTATACAATGAATAACCAACCGCAATGTGCTCAGAGACATATGTAAGTAAATTTCTATCGATATAAGTGTCACTTCGTACGTTCATTGACTCGGGTTAATTAATAAGGAATCGTGCCTTAGACTGTGCTAGCCCACTAGAGGGTGCTGCATTTCAAGTTACCACATTAACTTTCGTTAGCATTCGGTCCAGACGATGGTGAACGATCATGGAAAGCCGCAAAGTAAGGAGCTCATGGTGTGTAACAGATAGTAAGGATGTCTCACCGACGGAACAGCAACAGGCGGCCATGGTTCCGTCCTCGGAGAGCTCATCGCTGTCCCGGCATGTCTCCGTCCCGGAGCGCAGATCCACTTTACCGTAGCAACGGGCCTTACGGGAATCTGAAATTGATATGAAAACATTTCAGCTGAGTGAGGTCATATAGCCGCAACGCAAGCATTACACTACCACTCCTACTTCTTGTTAAAACTGATATTAAACTGATTTTGTATAATTGGCAAAAAAGTATGAGCGAGCTGACGGTTCATTCAGCGCTAAGTGATTACGAGAGTCTATCGGAGTGGTCGAAGTCCCAATGAACTATATTATTTAACATCTGTCCCCCTTTTTAAGCCAGACGCGTGACTGGTCTGCGACCAAAATAAGTAGGATGGAGGTATCCACCCGTGCAGGCTTATGATCGACTCGAATTATTCCAAATAGCTGGTTAGTTTAGTTAAAAGTATAATGCCAACAATTATTCAACAGATTGAAATCAATGTGCTGTAAGTCTAATACATAGTGTAAATCCAATATAGACAAGTAGAGAACAGCAGGCGGTACGCACCGTAGCAGGCCGTGCCGTCGGAGACCAGCTCGTAGTTGGGCGGACAGCGGCACGTGTAGGAGCCCTGCGTGTTGATGCACTGCCCGTACTGGCACGACTGCGGCGACTTGCACTCGTCCACGTCCGTGCAGTTGAAGCCGGGCATCACTGCGGGACCACACACGCGTTACTACCGGACCCCCCACCCCCCACTAGGGCTGTCGGGTGCCGGTCCTGGCAGACGAGGCCGAGGACAACGTAACGTCAGACATTCCTGTAACTTTTGCAGCTCTGGGCATGATTTCCTTGATGGTTCTTTCAAATTATTTACTTGAAGAAAGGAGAACTTGATTTTTACTATTTTAGTGCTAATTACGTAAGACATACAAGTAACGTCCGGGAAAGACACCTACAGCATCCTGAAGGCATTAACAGACCGTTATGACTGTCGGTACTTGAACCATTGTACCATGGTTCACTTGCGGACTAAATAATAATAATAATAATGTTCGGTTCGAAGTAAGTATCAGTTGACCGGATAATTATTTTTAATAAATGTATCTTTTTTATTTGATTGGTTTTGTTAATTTTATGTATGTTTCAATGATACTATGTACACATATGGACTTGTTGTTGTCTGAAATAAAATAAATCATTCATTTATTCATTCACTTACGATCGTCGACGCTGTCCGATTGGTACCCCTTGTCGCAGATACATTTGAACATGCCGTACGTGTTCACGCAGCGTCCGAACACGCACACGTTGTCGAACGTGGCGCACTCGTCCATGTCTACACAGAAACAAGATAAAGGTCCATATGAAATATTTGTCGTCACCACTCACTTAAAACGCGCGCTAAATCCATCTACAGTGTCCATCTCTAACAATAGCTTTCCGTGAGTACTTTGCATACGTACCTTAATAATTGGGGGGAGATTGTGTGAGGTTAGAAATCAGCTTAAAATCGGTTTTATTTTTTGCACGAATCGTGTCTATACGATTGTAACAATTTAATGTGGACTTAAGACCTCGATTTTGAACTATAATTTTGAGATTAACCATTGAAAGATTTCGAGGCACATAGGCAGCGCCGCGCGGGAGCAGAGTGCATCAGTTACCCAGACATGAGCGTCCGTCGGCGGCGCGCGTGAAGCCCACGTCGCAGTCGCACTCGTAGCCGCCCGGCGTGTTGCTGCAGTGCCCGTTCTCGCACAGCGTGGGGTCGTTGGCGCACTCGTCGATGTCCACGCACGAGTACCTGCACCACGCGTATGCGTTACCACTGACTGCATGTGCACGCGAGCACATACACATAGAAGACCGTTCGGAGCCCGTACCCGTCTCCCTTGTAGCCGGTGTCGCAGAGGCAGCGGAAGGAGCCGTCCGTGTTGGCGCAGGTGGCCCGCGGGTGGCAGCCGCCGTTGTTGGTGAGGCACTCGTCGACGTCCTCGCACGTGGCGCCGTCCCCGCGCCACCCGTCCCGACACCGGCACTGGAACGAGCCCTGACGACAACACCACGAGTTGCTTTACATTTCAGTCACAGCCCTGGTGCGAGGGGGCACTGTGGAGATCACTGACCGGTAGGTTGATGCAGTCGGCGGCGGGGTGGCAGTCGCAGGTGCCCAGCTCACACTCGTCGTCGTCAGTGCAAGCGGGTCCCTGCTCCGGCTTCACGCTGTACCCATCCGGACACTGGCACACGAACGAGCCGATCGTGTTGTGGCACGACCCCGCACCGCACAGCTCCGGTATCTGAGAACCCACACTCTTCTGTAACTCATCTACACTTATCATCATTATCGTAGCCACCATCTAATTTAGAGTTAATGTAACGATGAATCTTTCATAGATAAACATGGTCATTAACAAAGGGCGTGGAGCGACTCACGTCTGCGCACTCGTCGATGTCCTGGCAGGTGGGCTTGGCGCCGGCAGCCGACGGCACCAGCCCGTCCGTGCAGGTGCAGGTGTAGGAGCCGACCGTGTTGCGGCACTGTCCGCCACCGCAGGGCCGCGCACCGCCCGCGCACTCGTCGATGTCGCGGCACGAGCGACCGTCCGCGCGCAGGTGCCAGCCCTCGCTGCAACGCGCGTGGTCAGATCAGTGTCCGGGGTGACGCCAACACGGATGTGAACTGCAGGGACTCAGTCCCTGACGACCATAAGCGACGGTAACCACCACCACTGAGGCGATAATATAAAAAGGACACATCCGTGAAACACCGTAATGTTATTTGACGATAAGTGTTGATAGTCATTCGCAGCTCAACCAGTGACTCTTGGAGTGATGTTCCCAGCAGAACACGTACTCATTTTCAAATTGTAGCTTAAAAATTTGATCAACGACTTTTTAAACAATACTCGATACGCTATAGATAATTTATGCAAATGTTGATATGATTGTGACCAAAACCAGAGCAGAAAAGCTGTAGGGCTAAAGAGTGAGGTAGTTGCGAACCGGCACGTGCAGTGGTAGGAGCCGGGCGTGTTGACGCAGGAGTGCTGGCAGCGCGCGGCGTCCTCTGCGCACTCGTCGATGTCGTCGCAGTGCGACTTCACGGTGGACTGCGCGTAGCCCTCGTCGCACACGCACTGGTACGTGCCCATCTGGTTCTCGCACGCGCCGTTGCTGCAGATACCTGCGGCCGAACACTTGGCCATGTCACGAATTCTTGACTTTTTTACAACTACAACTATTATTTAGACCAGTCGTCTTACTTAAACCAGTCCAACTTTTGAAGTCGTCGTGGCCTAAAGGATAAAACGTCCGGTGCATTCGTATCCAGCGATGCAACGGTTCGAATCCGGCAGACGGGTACCAATTTTTCTAATGAAATACGTACTTAAAAAATGATCACGGCTGACTTCCGCGGTGAAGGAATAACATCGTGTAATAAAAATCAAACCCGCAAAATTATAATTTGCGTAATTACTGGTGGTAAGACCTCTTGTGAGTTCGCACGGGTAGGTACCACCACCCTGCCTATTTCTGCCATGAAGCAGTAATGCGTTTCAGTTTGAAAGGTTGGGCAGCCGTTGTAACCATACTGAGGCCTTAGAACTTATATCTCAAGGTGGGTGGCGCATTTACGTCATAGATATCTATAGGCCCCACTTAACACCAGGTGGGCTGTGAGCTCGTCTACACATGTAAGTAATAAAAAAAAGACCAGTGGTCGGCAACCATGTCAACCAAAAGAGCCATTTAAAGAAGATACACAATTGAATTTTATTCAAAGAGCCATTTTTTTAAAATATAACTTTATATTCAAAGTAAAAAATGTTTACTCGTCTCTTACAAGGCAAGATAATATATAATATTTCGTGCCTGGAGTAATCATTTCGCGGAAGTCGAAGAGGCAAAGAGCCGTGTGAGGATCGCAAGCCACGGGTTGCCGACCATTAACTTAGACCAATAAAGTAATGCCTGTAAATTCTGCATTCACGTTGACTAAGTTAACCAGATAAAGAGATCACGTAAGAGGCTCAGGCCGCGCGGCAAGTGGCGGGTACCTGAGGTGATGGAGCACTCGTCGATATCCTTGCAGGAGAGTCTGTCGGGCGCCAGCTCCATGCCGTGGCCGCACTCGCAGCGGAACGAGCCCGCCGTGTTGACGCAGCGGCCGCCGCGACACAACGCGTCGTTGTTCGCGCACTCGTCTATGTCTGCACATGTAACATGCTCGTGCTGTAATCGTCACTATGTTTGTCTCTCTTGTTTTTAGTTTCAGCAGAACAGGTGGGCGAGCAAAAGGCTCAGCTAGGAGGGGTGGGATTTGCTAACAGCTGCCCGAGCGTCCGAAGGAGACCTAACAACTCAAGAGCATCTGCTTCGCGAATGAATCTACTACAGGATCGGAATCGTGCCTCTTGTTATGTTACGCTGCGCGGTACGTAATCTTGAAAAACAAGGGTGACCATGATTGTAATGAATTTAAAACTGTATTATTGCTGTATACTTATTGCTGTAAGCCGGGACTCATCTTGTCGACTCATGTAGACCAAAAATCAAATCCTACAATTAGCTTACTGCCACCACTAGGCTGGTGCCTCATCATCCTATGCACATTAGAAACACAATCAGAGAAATTATTTTCTTCTTGAATAAAATTATCCGCATTGGGCTGACATAGGAGATCCAAAAAGACATAACCTGCTATACACACGTGTTTTGCGAGATTAGGCTTAGTCTGTTGGAGCCCGAATGTGCCCCGCACACCGCCCTCCCGGCCAGCATGGTGGCCAATCCTCCTATATCTAACGGTTTCCTGCAGGTCCCAAAAAGGTGCCCATATACCAATTTTAGTCGCCTCAATATTCCGTTGTCTACTGACCGACACATATCTTAGAGAAGTCGTCCGCCTTGTAACCAGGTCGGCAGTGGCAGGTGAAGCTGCCTTCAGTGTTGTGACAGTCGCCATCACCACACACGCCGTCCACGATCTCACACTCGTTCACGTCCACGCACGTGTGGTTCTTTGAATCCTGAGAAACAATGGATACATAAAGACGTATATAAAAAGTTCACTCCCAACGTCAAGGGTGCCTCAAATTTGAGACGTGAGGTGGAGTCACTGGCAATAAGGCCTACTTATCTATACTAATCTTATCTATACTAATATATAAATCTACAGTGGTTTTTACGGATGTTCCGTTATATCTACTGAACCATGCATCCGATTGACTTGAAACTTGGTATCCATGTAGAAAATACATATTCTTAATGGATAGGCTTTATATTTATATGAGTATTGGACTCCCTACACCAGTTACGGGGGCGTTAATGATGAGAATCTTTGTGGGGGTGAGAAATTATAATGTTAATTTTAAGTGCCCAGCGAAGCGGACGGGTAAAGCTAGTTACATATATTAATATGAACATCAATTTTCTGTCCATGCCCATTTGCGATAGATTTAAAGGAGTTCCGAGATGGAGGAACCGAACAAAGCATGTCGGAGTTCAACAGTCTTAGATATTATAGATGATCAAGCATTTATTGGTCGTACCTTTTCGTATCCAGGGAAACAATCACAAGTGAACCCGCCAAGCAGGTTTCTACAGCGTCCATGGCCGCAGAGTCCAGGGAAAGCTGCACACTCGTTAACTTCCATCTGTCCGGGGATCAGTCCCGGTCCGTTTCCTCCAACGGTTCCGTTCCCCCAGGTATCCCAACCTCCGTCGCTACCATTTTCACCCCACTGTTTCCCATACCCGTCCCCGTTCTCGTCTCCTCCGACCTGTGACCAGATGTCGGTCATGTTGCCGTCGATCGGTCTGTCCCACTGGTTCGGCGGTAGCAGAGTGCCCACTGCTATGCACAGGTTTTGATAGGCATCCGTTCCTAAAAGCGAATGATAACATTATTTTCTAATGCAATATCTTAAATCGCTTGAAAACCAAACATTTCCTTTGCGTACGAAATGTATTCACAAAAACCTATAACAATATGATATGGTAATAAGAAAATTAATTACAAAAATGCTAAATATCAAATTTCTTCCAGCAGACGCGCCAGACAAAGGTTGCCTAGTTCTGCCTCGTTTTAAAGGGATGGTTTGCAATCTGAAGTCTCAAGGTAAGCAGCTATAGTAAGTACTTAACAACTTTACTGGGAGACCTCTTGGGAGTCCGCGCGGGTAGGTACAACCACCCTACCTATTTCTGCCGTGAAGCAGTTATGCGTTTCAGTTTGAAGGGCGGGACAGCCGTTGTAACTATACTGAGACCTTAGAACTTATATCTCAAGGTGGGTGGCGCATTTACGTTGTAGATGTCGATGAGCTCCAGTAACCACTTAACACCAGGTGGGCTGTGCGCTCGTCCACCTATCTAAGCAATAAATAAATAAATAAACTTAACATGGGACAGGTACCTTTCTTAGGGCAGGGCTCGCAGCGCTGGTTCCCCCAGGCCTTGCCCAGGGCTGAACAGCAGCACACGGCCCGCAGCACGTCGGTGGGTAGAGGGCCCGAGCAGCGCCCGCCCGTCATCTCCGTGTAGCAGGACTCGCGCCGCCGGTCCACGCAGCGGTTACCTGCAACCTCACCACTTGCAACACGCACTTACCACTCGAGCGAATATAACGAACAAGACTAACTAAGCTTACCAAAACACTGAACACACGGCCACAAACGTGCGTATCCGTTATCTATAATAATATTATAAAGCGGAAGAGTTCTGTTTGTTTGAACGCGCAAATCTCAGGAACTACTGGTCCGATTTGAAAAATTCTTTCAGTGTTAGATAGCCCATTTATTGAGGATAGGCTATTTAACATCACGGTGAGACCAATACAAGTGTAGCGCCAATAAATAATGTTTCAAAATAGGGGTTTAAATAGCCTTTAATTCCTTATCATTCTATAATTCAAAAATATTTTCACTTCAAATGAAGCGGGGGATAAAATTTAGCGTTATGCCAAAGTAACTATTCCACGGGGATGAAGTCACGGGCAAAAGCTTGTGTTATTATGAAGGAACAAAGTCAATGTTTATTGCTCGAATTATTATTGCAATGAATATTAGCTGTACTTAGAAATTAAGATCAATACCATAAACATAAAAAAATAGTTCATGTATGTAACAAAAGAACAAGAACTCTGAAGTATGTGATATGCATTGGTATTATTTTAGAGCTTTCAGACTTTGTGATATTTTATTCTTATCACCAAAAAGTTCACATTAACAAACAAAAAAATGATATTTCAGAAACTATATTGTCATCACAACTACACCATGCCTAAAAAAGATTCGGTAACCCACTTTCTGCATGATCTGATGCTAAATGGTTTTCTAGGACTCTAGATTAGACTCTAGACTCTAGGACTCTAGAAGACCAATCAGCATTTACGAAACCTTCCTAAAAACCATTACAGCAACAAATTTATCTATTCAAAACCCAATTTTGCATAGTTTATAAAACTCTAAATTAATCAAAACTCGACAACAATAATCACCCAAATACAGGCAAATGTAGAAATTATTATTTATTGATAACGTAGAATTTAAAAAATTAAACTTTTTTGTACCGTATACGTACTCAACAAATGTTAACGATTGACTTCCACGGTGAAGGAATAACATCGTGTAATAAAAATGAAACCCGCAAAATTATAATTTGCGTAATTACTGGTGGTAGGACCTCTTGGGAGTCCACACGGGTAGGTACCACCACCCCGCCTATTTCCGCCGTGAAGCAGTAATGCGTTTCGGTTCGAAGGGTGGGGTAGCCGTTATAACTATACTGAGACCTTAGAACTTATATCTCGAGGTGGGTGGCGCATTTACGTTTTAGGTGTCTATGGGTTCCAGTAACCACTTAACATCAGGTGGGCTGTGAGCTCGTCCATCCATCTAAGCAATAAAAAAAAAATAAAAAAAACCATTCTCAATTTAATTTTATCCGTTAATAGCCGTACTCGCCCGCTTCGCTGGGCATTTAAAATAAACATTATTATTTATTGTCATTATTATTAGGGAGTCCAATACTCATATAAATATTAGCCTATCCATTAGTTTCAACTCAATTGGATGCATGGTTCAATAGTTACAACGGAACAACCGTAAAAACCACTGTAGATTTATATAGTAGTATAGATTACGGGATGCCATGTCATTAGTAAAGTGGTGCAGTACCGGTAGAGTCCAGCGTGAGTCCGGGCGGGCAGTCGCAGCGGTAGGAGCCGTCCGTGTTGACGCACGTGCCGCCCGCGCACAGCTCCGCACTCAGCGCGCACTCGTCCACGTCGCGGCACGTCGCGCCGTCCAGCTGCGGACAACCGACACTCGCTCTTATACCCTGCGCACTACGGTCTAGTCTCCATACCTCCATCGGTTCTTAATGAGACCGCAAAAGTCCAATTCATTGAAATGGTCGACCAGACATTAAAAAACGAATTTTTAAATCGGTCGTTTAAATAGTCTTCTTTTTTTTCCACCTTATCCCACTAGGTGGGGTCGGCACAGCTAATTTTTCTCTTCCATTCTCTTCTATCAGCCGTCATCTCGACACTGCCTCCTCTCTCTCTCTCTCATAGTTATTCACAGCCACCATCCATGTTTTATTCGGTCGACCTTTTCCCCCTCTACCTTGTACTACCAATTCCATACATCTCCTATTCACATGCATCTTCTCTCTACGCATCACATGTCCATACCACGCTAACGTTGAAATAATGAGGGTACCTTGGCGAATCCCTTGGGGCAGGGGCAGTGGTCGGGATCGCACGGCGCACAGGGCGAGCCCCAGGCCAGCCCCACGCTGCAGCAGCACTCCTGGCGCAGGAGTAGCTCTGGCGCGGCGGCCTCGCACTGTCCGTCCACCACGCGGCGCCAGCACGAGCCGCGCCGGTTGTCTGTACAAACACGGTGGGTGCGTGAGTACAGGGAGGCCACGCGCGAGGCGCCCCCCCGGCGAGCCACTCACCCAGACAGCGCTGCGCGGTGGCGTCCAGCACGTAGCCCAGCTCGCACTCGCACTCGAAGCCGCCGTGCGTGTTGATGCAGCGCCCGTTGTCGCACGGACTCGCCAGCTCTGCACCACGGAACGGAAACTTTACACAGAGATAGATTACCGGCGACGAACTAAATTAATTTTGCTATTTATTCATAATTTATATACAATACTTTACATTTAAAAGCTAATATATTTGTTTTGTTTCATTTGAAATATTAAAAATCTACAGTTACACTTCTAATTAATTATTCTTATGTTAATACAATTTTGTTATTTAACGTTATTACATATTCTTAATGTTATGGTTTATATTTAAACAAGCGTTATCTTCATATTGACCAAAGTCTACTAATATTAGGTTATAGCTGTTCTGAATCTCACCAATCTAAACAACCCGCAACGTGCATTCAAATGAATCTTGTAATGATGGTGATGTCAGTGTACCCGGGTCCCTGGTTCGGTTTGAACGAAAGCGGTGCAGTGACAAGGGAACGCGTGTATTAAAATGTATTTACCATAATTACATACGTTTTGAATCTCAAATTGACAACGTGATCATGAATTGTTCATTATACTTAGCAGCAAAGTCGTTACCGTATTATAGTTAGGTACCCATGACGGTCGTGAAGCTAGCAAGCCGCAGGCGGTGGGGGCGATGGGGCAGTGGAGAGTAATAACTATAAAGTGTGTAACCTGTCCTCGTCGGGAAGGTGGGGGGTATGTCGCCGCGCTCATAGTCGGACTCGATGTAATGTGTCTCAGTCNTCATGAATTATTCATTATACTTAGCAGCAAAGTCGTTACCGTATTATAGTTAGGTACCCATGACGGTCGTGAAGCTAGCAAGCCGCAGGCGGTGGGGGCGATGGGGCAGTGGAGAGTAATAACTATAAAGTGTGTAACCTGTCCTCGTCGGGAAGGTGGGGGGTATGTCGCCGCGCTCATAGTCGGACTCGATGTAATGTGTCTCAGTCTCACCCTCGCACTCGTCGATGTCCCGACACAGCTGCAGCTCGGGCTCGTGGCGCGTGCCCTCGGGACACACGCACGTGAAGCTGCCCGCCGTGTTGCGGCACTGGCCGCCCGCGCAGTACTGCGGACACACGGAGACATGCAGCGGACACGCCCGGGGGAGGGACACCCAGGGGGCGCCGGGAGGACACGCCCGGGCCTCGTCTTATCGGTTCATTCTCAAATGTTTTTAATGAATGAAACCAAACTAACACAGCGGTTGTATTCACAAATATAAGGTGGAACTGGGCACGGTCACTATAGGAGCGACAGCCCTGTCAACAGAGAGATGTTACTTACGGATTGGTGCATATCGCACTCGTCGATGTCCCGGCACAGTCCGTCCGCGTCTGGATGGTAGCCGGGGTCGCAGATGCATCGGTAGCCGGGCTCCAGGTTCTCGCAGGAGCCGTGCGGGCAAGCGCCGGGCACCGCGGTGCACTCGTTGATGTCGGCGCCGCCGTTGTCCTTGCTGGGTCCCTCGGGGCACAGCACCGCGTACAGCTCGCTGCCCTGCGCCGGGCACGCCTGGCACGACACGCCCCAGCCTAGCTTTAGACCTGCCAATCGGACAGTTAAGTTAAAAAACTACGACCATTTCTCAAGACCATTTAACAATCTCGATAGTTTATTGAGTATGTAGATACTTTTTATATACGTTAATAAAGTATTTTTTTATAACCGTATTCTCGACTATTAATCATTTCGAATCCCAGACTATCAACATAAAACTATAAGTTCTCGATGCAAAACTAATTAAATATTCCATTCGGTGATTAATATCATATATGAATGAGCAAACGAACAAAATAACAACTATCTACACTATTAATCAGTACACTAAGGTCACCATTTGTCTTTTCTTGCACAGTACTGGTGCTTCAATATTACTTTATATGCATTAGAATGCTATTTGTAGAACCCCCGAAGACAACGTCACGACTCCACCGACTGGTCGATTTTTTTTGTTTAGGCAAGGCAAGGGCAATAGAAAAAGCGTCACCAGCCCGCGGACTGGTCGATCCTGGTTGCTACCTTTAGTGGCGCTGCAGCAGCACTGCGACCTGGTGACCGCGTTCTGTCCCGGCCCCGTGCAGTGGCCCTCTTCGTATTTCTCGTAACATAAGTCTTGAACCTCGTCTATTGCACAAAAACATTCGAGTCAATTCAGCGATTCCTAAAAACGGACCTACAATTCTAACTTCAGCTTACTGGCCTTAAACAGTGACTAGAAGTGATGCGTTTTATAAGTTTGAACGTCTCGTAGGCAGTAAAATTCAGATGTATTATTACATTACATTGCACTATCGTTCTTCATAGGTGTCTGTCATTTTGGGCAAGAATGCTGAAAAACATTATTCGCGACAAGCGATAGTAATTTCGGACGAGACATACAACGAAGAGTCTTCCAATGGTTTAAGTATTTTTATTATTATTGCATAGATGGGTGGACGAGCTCACAGCCCACCTGGTGCTGAGTGGTTACTGGAGCCCATAGACATCTACAACGTAAATACCGCCACCAACCTTGATATATAAGTTCTAAGGTCTCAATATAGTTACAACGGCTGCCCCAACCTTCAAACCGAAACGCATTACTGCTTCACGGCAGAAATAGACAAGGTGGTTACCATGCGGACTCACAAGAGGTCCTACCACCAGTAAATTAGTATATTACGTGATATAATTATATTATGTGGGCTGGTCACATATGTCGCAGAACCGATAACCGTTGAGGTAGACGTGTTCTGGAGTGGAAACTGCGAATCGGCAAACGTAGTGTAGGACGCCCTCCTGCTAGATGGAGCGACGACCTGCGTAAAGCAGCTGGAAATGACTGGATGCGTAGAACCGAAGATCGGGTTCAGTGGCGAACTTTGGGAGAGGCCTATGCTCAGCAGTGGACTGCCGCAGGCTGATGATGATGTTGGGGCACCGACCTAGACACGTCCTGCCGTCGTTGCTGAGCGTGAAGCCGGGCAGGCACTCGCAGCGGAAGGAGCCGGGCGTGTTGTGGCAGCGGCCGTTGCGGCAGACGCGCTGCTCCTCGCACTCGTCCACGTCCACGCAGGCGCCGCGCGTGGCAGTGGGCCGGTACCCCGCCTCGCACACGCATTGGAACGAGCCCTCGCTGTTCACGCAGCGCCCGCCCTAAAGACACAAGCACCGGCTCACCAAACGTTTGAAGCTAATTATTAAAGGGATCATAAATGTACTTTAACTCCATTCAAAACAAAAATGCGAATATTCTCTACAACTGAGACATTTATATTACTATGTAACATCTCAATATTTTATTGTTGTGATAAAATGCGTGAACCAAAACTATAAAAAGCTTTGTTCGAATCCAACTGAAAATTCACCAAACATTTGAAGTGGACACTTTGTTTGTTTCGAGCTGCAATCGGGAATCCACCCAACATAGATAAGTTAAAAGAAGCGGTCAGACCTTGCACATGGAATCGGCGGCGCACTCGTCCACGTCGGCGCAGTAGCCGGCCGCCGTGGGGGCGAAGCCGGGCTCGCACAGGCACGTGTAGGAGCCGGCCGTGTTGCGACAGCGGCCGCGGCGGCACACGCGCGGGTTGTCGCGGCACTCGTCCACGTCGCGGCACAGCGCGCCCTCCGAGCCCGACTCGTACCCGGGCTTGCAGATGCACTCAAACCTGTACCCGACGCAGCGTTAGCGACTACCCACAGGTTACAAGCTACCGAAACGATCATGGATCAAATGGTCGCCTGGAGTTCACTCTGATATGAACAAACGAAAATGATGTCATTATGATAATTCGGATAGATCTCTGATAGGTCTTCCGATAGGTCTCACAAGACTGAATATTGGGTGCGATGTTTTTTTTTTATGATTGAAAGATGGTGGCCCGGAGACCTTTCCAGTTTCACCGGGACAGATGGGCGAGCAAAGGCTCAGGCAGCGCAAAGGCTCAGCCTGCAAAGGAAGGCCCTGTGGCGCAACGGATACCGCGTCTGGCTAAGGGTACGATGTTTTAGGTACGACAATTATGACGGAATGACGATAGTTCCCCAAATACCAGGGTCATCTCACAGCACGCAAAAAACATAAATAGCAATTGTGACGTAGTGGTGCATGTTAACGTTCCTGCCATGTTACGCTTTCTGAGCCCAAAGTCCTGGATGCTAATTACTGACAAATACCAATTGATAACAGCCTAACAATTTGGGCACTTGGCTACCGTTATTTTCATTATATTTCATCAAGTACATTTCCACATGTGCGACGCCTTGGTGGAGTTTGATTGGTTGTTGCTGGTGACATTAATACCAATATCTTGGACAACCCTCATTGCTTGTGTCTGTTGGTTGAACACGGTTTGTTACCAGCAGTAACGGTACCAACCAGATTAAAGTCGTATTATGCTTTCAAGGACGTGCGAAGTTCTAATTTTGTCTTCCTAGTGCTATACCATCGTGAGCCTAACAATGAAGAGGATGGCAACACAAGCCGTGTTCAGTATATTATTGGCTATGTTACCACTGAACCAAATAAACTGCAAGCGATACTTTGGGCACATTTAGTTATGTGTTTTAGGGATCTACATATATGGTGATTTAATACGTAACATAAATAAATATACAATTCAATCAGGGCTTCGCTTTTAACACTAAACCCCCAACAATTATTTTTCAACATCGAAATAAGATCTTTGAGTGAATGAATTCGGAGTGAAACAGAAGTACCTACCCTCCATCTATATTCTTGCAGATTCCGTTGGTGCACATTCCTCCGTTGGTCATCTCGCATTCGTTCTTGTCGCTGCATCTCAAACCGTTTTCAACGGGGTCGAAGCCCGGCGGACACCTGAAAAAAAAAACCTGTTGTAAAGCTATTGCATAACATTTTTTATCAACTTATGCAATTATAATTAGACAATAATAATTTAATATTAAAGCAATAATAAAATAAGACCACGCTATATTTATAAATATTAACTGTCCCCTTCACGCTCATAAGCTAGACCACGCGAGCGAGAGATGGGCAGACTTTTCATGATGCGCATGCAGTGCGACGTCACGCCGCGCGCTTATTCACAAATAATACACAAGCGCAACGTGTGAATGTGTTGAACGCGAGCTACATGGTAGGTGGAGTGGGGGTGTTAGGTTTTATTTTCGTTACGGAATTTCTTGATCATATTTCTTTATTTATTCTTTTCTTTATATATAACATATTTCTTTTCGCACGGTACATAGCTGATCATCCACACAGTATAGGTTTTTTATAGGACCATAACATATAACCATATAACATTTTGTATTGTATTAATATCCATTGAACATTATTCGGGCCGTGATTTCAGTTTGCGCTAGTTAAATAAAAGCTATAAATATTATAGAAGCTACTTAATCTATAAATTTAATACCTGAAGCAAAAAATTTTTAGCCCTTTTTACGAAAATTGCGCGGATGGAGGAGTATGAAATTTTCCACACTTGTTATATATAAACAACAACATATAAACAACAAACTTCTCTATAGAGAAGGAGTGCAGAATGCAATTTTTTTTTTAATTCTGCATTAAAAATGCATTAAATCAATAGAAAAAACATTACACACACTACCATGTATTTGACACACACACACACACACGCATATATAGTCTTTTGTTTATTGTTAAAGTCTCTGGTCAAATTCATAATAGATTAATACTGTTTGTCTTCATTATTATGATATATTATTATATATATTATATCTATAGTGTAGCCTTGGCGAAATTTCTTTATTATAGTCTATATCTATGATAGTCTTTGAATGGAACCATAACAATGTTCAAGCTTATCATTTAAATTAATTATTGAATTTCGTAGACTAGGGGACCACTAGTATAATTTAAATTACGCACGCCCCGCGTATCCCCCGGTCGAATTTTGACTACCGGGGGACCACTATCATATCATAGTATAAAACAAAGTCGCTTTCTCTGTCCCTATATCCCTATGTATACTTAAATCTTTAAAACTACGCAACGGATTTTGAAGCGATTTTTTAATAGATAAAGTGATTGAAGAGGATGGTTTATATGTATAATAACATCCATTAAATAGTGCAGAAGTCAATAATAAATAACAGTTTCCAAAGCGAAGCGAGGGCGGGTCACTAGTATTATTATAAATAGTTATTTGCGCACGGCCCGTATCCCCCGGCGGGTTACCTGCACTCGAAGTCCCCCGGTCGGTTGATGCACGTCCCCCCCTTGCAGTACTCGAGGGCGCACTCGTCGATGTCGATGCAGACGCGGTTCCCGTCGATCTCTGCCACCTCCGCGCCGGCCCAGCACTCGCAGGTGTACCTGCAACGGTACCTCTCGTTGTGACGTCATCGATAGTGCCGCTAGTGCCGCGGGGCACGTGAGGAGCCGCGTAGGTGAAACGGAACAGATTTTCAAAGATGAAAGTAGTTGATATCGATGTTGCCTTGCCAACATCGATATCAATTACTGGTGGTAGGACGTCTTGCAAGTGCCTATTTCAGCATAACGCGTTTCGGTTTGAAGGATGGGGTAACCGTTGTACTGTTAGAAGTGAGACCTTAGAACTCATGTCTCAAGGTGGGTAACGGTATTTACGTTGTATATACAACCAGTTACCAGAGCTCATAGGCATAGGCATATGCCTATGAGCTCTGATAACCACTTAAAACCAGGTGGGCCGTGAGAGTGTCCACCCATCTAAGCTATAAAAATAAATCAACTTCACTACGCTCTCGCGCAGTATTGTCGAAGTGTACATAATTAATGTTAAATAATCTCACCCGACATCCTTATCAATACAATTTCCCAATCCGCAGATACCGTTTCTTAGCATGCACTCGTTGATCTTCGCGATGGATGGAGGCGCGAATGTTCCTCCTCCGCCGTCACCATCTTCTCCGCCTCCAGATGAGCCTCCCCCTTCCCCACCCTGTCCTCCCCCACCAATGCCACCACCTCCACCTCCTCCTCCTGTCACGTTCCTCCTCCAGTTCGGAGGGATAGCACCACCACCACACAGATGCGTCCATTCAGCTGTCAAATAAAATTAATAAATTACATTTTAAAATATGAAGCTTGATAAGACAGCACGAGTGCTCACGCACGCACACGGCATATCACAGCTAGAATACCCGACATCATTCTGGGTGCCGTAAACATTTGCCTAGATAAAACCTTTTGCTTTCGAACACGATTTATTTAAAGCCTTTGCTTTACTTCACAGCAATTTGGTGTTTTGTACCGACCCAGTTTGTAGTTTGTATAGACCTTAGAACTTATATCTCAAGGTGGGTGGCGCATTTGCGTTGTAGATGTCTATAGGTTCCAGTAACCACTTAACACCAGGTCCACTCATCTAAGCAATAAAAGCAATAACAAAAAAATATATAAAAAAATTAACAAGCCAAAATAATGTGTTGAAATTGCACGATAATCAATAAGCATCTATTGAGAGGGAGTATGGACACAGCGTGCGGGTACGTACTGGCGCCGCGCGGCGGGCACGGCGTGCAGAGGTCGCCCCAGGCGCGGCCCATGTTGTACCCGCAGCAGCAGTCGCGGTTAGACAGCGCCACGGGCAGCCGGTCCGCGCACTCGCCCGTCTCGCTCAGGTACGCGTAGCAACTGCCCACTCGCCCGTCTGGAACATTCCCATTATACCCCTTTCATCTCGAACTTTCTGGACTGGTGTTATAAAAGTTTTACTTTGCCTATATAGTGTGTATTCGGATGAACCGATCACCGAACTCGTCGATTACGACGAATACCACGTTTTCATACCCGACCCTGTAGACCGAATGGTAAACAGTCGACGTCGCCCTATACACGTCATTACGGATCCTCCCGATCCATTAACGGTGCTTTTAGATACCACAAGCAACGGTCACCGTCCTCTTTGAACCCGTCGCTTGCTGGGCCGTCGAGCCCAGCGACGTAGACACACAGTCCACTGAGTTTCTCGCCGGATCTTCTCGGTGGGTCGCGATTCCGATGCGGTGGTAGATACTGCGAAGCACTGCTCTTGCTAGGACTAGTGTTAGCCAATTCTCTCAGGTTAAGCCCGTGAGTTCGCCTACCCGTCTGGGCGTAGCTGGAATAGTCACTTATGCTACTAGCAAATAGGTAGGAGGAAAAAAACCGGATGTTGGTAAACGTGTAATAATAGTGACTCATTAACCCTTTACTGTATATGACAGTGAAATCGCAAGTCAATACTACTGGCGAGTTTCAAAAATAATAAAAATACTCCTCAAACATTCTAAAGTAGCGACCACTGTGTCAAGCTGTTGTTATTATTTTCTCCTATTATACGGATCTAGTGCTGAAGCGATAAGGAAATTGTTTTGAAGAACAAGAAATCAGTGAATAAAAATCGTACCAATACAGAATTTCTTGTCAGGACTGGGAATGAAGTGGGGGTTGCAAAGACAGTAGTAATCTCCTTCCGTGTTCACACATTTGCCATTCTGAAATAAACGAAAAACATATCATATTATTATGTCTTTATTCTTTTTATTTTTTCGTAGATGAGTAAAGGACGTCACAAACAACATGATGGTAAGTGATTACACTAAGACCTACAGACACCATGATCAGAGACATGACTTCGAAATCACAGGTAGGCAGCTGATTGGCTCTGCCCCTGGGATTGCTGAAGTCCATGGGCGACGGTAATCACTCACCATCAGGTGGGCCGTATGCTTGTCTGCCTAAAAGGGCAATAAAAAAACCAGTTGTATGTACAGGAACTCCACCCTTCAAACCGGAACGCAGCAGAACATTCATGTTGCTGGTACCTTTCCTTAGAATATGCCCCACCGTACGTATCTGCTTGGCGACCGCAGTAAGCTAAACTGATACTCAGAAAACGCTGCTGCCCAGTCTCTAGTGAATTGTTGTTTCTTACGACACCCGCAACAGGTGGTCCAACGATGTTCTAAGCCACCACACAGCTCGATAATTAAATTCCGAGCTTTGATTCCGTGTTTTCCAGTTCAATTCCTGACTTATACATGCCCATTGAGGCATACCATATATCGTTATAATACTGCTTAGGTTTACATACAAAATGTTGACAAATAAGTACAATTACTAAATACTATGTTTCTACCATGATCTTTGTTTGTCTCGACTGTATCCTATTAGTAGAGTCGACGCTGCGTATACTTTTCTATCACTTTTTTACGCTTACAACCTACATTCTTTCTATATTTTACAGTCTTCTAGTAATATGTTATTACTATACCTACATTTTACAATTTCGCTACTAATTTGGTCCACCTTCACAATCTATCAACTCATAGGTACTACTTTTACATGATTTGAGTATAACATTGTTACGCCAGTAAGAGTCACGCCATCTATCGCCGTATAGCCGAAACAAATATCAAAGGAACTCGTAACTTCGAGAAACATCGAGAAGTACAACGCCATCTATTGTCAGATAGCCGAAATACACAATACTCGACTTGTATGGAATATTCTCGATAATTCTAGGGATGTCGTATCGACTATAAAAGCGTTGCAGAGATGGCACGAGTCAGTTAGTAATCGGAACTACTCGAAGCGAAACAGCGAACGGATCACCTGAAGCGAAGCGGAAGAAGCGAATTGAGAATTTTAAAGTGTTGTAAAGTTTTTTAAGTGTTCTAAGTGCTAATACAGTTTTTAATTTTTACTCCGGTAGAATTTTATTTATCCCGAACCCCAGCGCGTAACAATATAATATAGTGAACTTACAGGACAAATATCGGGATCCTCGCACTCGTCGATGTCTTCGCAGTTGTTGGAGAGGGGATGCCGGCGCTGTCCTGGCGGACATTCGCATGAGAATGACCCTATGGAGTTGATGCAACGACCCCCTGAACACAAGCCCGGCACAGCTGCGCACTCATCTATGTCCTGAAAGATAATTATTTACAGTGCTTTTTTAAAGATTCATCGTCTTACATCCAATATTATGTCATTGTGGTGAACAGCATGCACAGGGTGCACAGACTATTGTTGATGGAATTCGAAGTCGTCGTAGCCTAAAGGATAAGACGTTCAGTGCATTCGTATGTAGCGATGCAAGAATTTTTTTCTAAGGAAATACGTGAAGGAAAAACGTCATTTAATAAAAATCAAACCCGCATAATTATAATTTGCGTAATTACCGGTGGTAGGACCTCTTGTGAGTCCGCACGGATAGATACCCCCTCCCTGCCTATTTCTGCCGTGAAGCAAGGGTGGAGCAGCTGTTGTACTTTAAAAAAACTGAGACCTTACAACTCATGTCTCGAGTTGGGTGGCGGCATTTACTTTGTAGATGTCTATGGGCTCCGGTAGCTACTTAACACGAGGTGCGCCGTGAGATCGTCCACCCATCTAAGCAATAAACAGAAAAACGGTGTACAGCTCGGGTTACTACACACCTGGCACTCTTTGGTGGCGAGGTTCCGCAGGTGTCCCACTGGACAGTCGAGGTCGGAGCACCTCTCGCAGGGGTGTCCCCAGGCGCGGCCGACCGTGGCACAGCAGAGCTGCCTCGTGCACACCACGCCCTCCAGCGCGCCCGTGCACAGCGCGCCGCGCGTCTCCGTGTAGCACGGACCTGGGACAACAACTCTGATCAGGGCCACGAGCCATTACCTTGAATACATGAACGCTTTATCTCAACCTTCAGCAGTGCGTAGGTTGCACGGCGGAGAACATTCTGCCCGTTTATTTCGGTATATGCCCCGAAATGAAAAGGTATTTTCGGTAAGTAAGTAGTGTTGAATTTATTACCACTATACTGAAATGCTCTGATGGAACAAAAAACGAGCCAGAAGTGGGTTCGTATGCTCTACCTCCAGCAGACGCCGCCTTGTGATTAAGCACGCGGGTTCAACTCCAATCGTACACGGGTCGCTCTATACCTTGCCTTCCATAGTGTGTGAGCGGAAGCGGGAGGATCAGCATATAGCAGGAGTATTTATAGGCGCTATGTGTGGTACTTCAAGTATCAGAAGGGCACAGTTGGGGTTGGGATGTTGCAAATTTTGGAAAACCATTTACCATGGGGCACTATAAATATATTAATGGAACCTGAGACACGTCTATATAAAAGGGAGGAGAGGAGAGGTCACCACACCACTCCATCAACGAACGCCCCCACCAGAAGAAAGAAGAGAGAAGAAGAAAGAAAGGAAAAGGAACAGCGAAGAGAAGAGAAGAGTAAGACAAAGTACAAGCCAAATTCTCGATTCGACCCACACAACAAAACTCGACCCAGTCAAGAATCGTACCAGCAACCTCATCACCCCTGCCTCGTCAGGCAGGGAGTCCAAGCCCGGGCAGAGGGGATTGCCTATATACAGTCCAGCCTGCTTGCGATCATGCTCAGGATACTGTTGGAGCTGGCCCTCACTCTGTTTACCAGAGATGCACACCTCTTACGCATGGTAGCGTAAAAACAATCTATGTGCGCGTCTGCAAACATCCCTGATGCGCTACAAAAGCGGGGCAGCACCACCAGCACCCTAAACGCGTTATTGTATTGAACACGGAATTATTAAATAATAGGCATGATATTATACTGAGGTCTGCACTTCAAAAAAAAAATTAAATATTAAAGACTCAGCATCATACCTGTTCTCCTATCGATCTCGCATCTCGGACCGGAGAGACCGTGGAAACACACGCATCTGTCCGGCGCAATACAGCGGCCGCCGTGCAGACATGGCTCCTTACATATCGCTGTTAACAATCATAATTATTAATAATGGTATCATGAAAACTTTCGATAGAATAACAGCGGTACAGATTACCGAGGGCAATATGGTATTCTAATGTTATCCTATTTCTGCCGTGAAGCAGTAATGCGTTTCGGTTTGAAGGGTGAGGCAGCCGTTGTAACTATACTTTAGACCTTAGAACTTATATCTCAAGGTGGGTGGCGCATTTACGTTGTAGAAGTCAATGAGCTTCAGTAAGCACTTAACACCAGGTGGGCTGTGAGCTCGTCCACCCATCTAAGCAATAAAAAAAAATTTCAAATGATTTATAGTCAAAACGTAATAAAGTTTCTGATATCATAGAGTTGTCTAAAGCGATCGTTCAACTTATTATTTCTCGACTCAGACTTTATCGAATAGCTTTAGTAGCTATAAATACTTGCAAAAACACCAAAGCGATTTTATACTAATTACACAGTGCTAAGTGGTTGCTGGAGTCCATGGACATCACAACGAAAACTCAGCCACCGACCTTGAGACACGATTCGGAGTCTCAATTATATTGCATATAAGCTAACTGATATTTCATGCCGGAACGAATAACTGTTTTGTGCAGAAGTAGGCAGGATGGAGGTAGGTACTCACTCATGCGTTAACAAATTGTTCACCATTTAACACAATTATGTAAAGGTAGCTCTACTACCGGTTCGAAAATAGCCGCACTCCGCAAAGTAAACTCAATCATAAATATAAAACTAATTTATAGGACTCCGGAGCCGTTGGATGGCAAGAGTGGTATTATATTGCATAGAATTATATATTATCAGAATTATAATTAGATTTATTATGTATTATTTGTATGAATTATATATTTTTATTATTGGTCGATGGACTACATGTGGACTCATGGTAGGACGTCTTGTGAGTCCGCACGGGTAGGTACCACCACCCTACCTATTTCAGCCGTGAAGCAGTAATGCGTTTCGTTTTAAAGGGCGGGGCAGCTGTTGTACTGTTACAAGTGAGACCTTAGAACTCATGTCTCAAGGTGGGTGGCGGCATTTACGTTGTATATGTCTATGGGCTCCAGTAACCACTCAACACCAGGTGGGCAGTGAGCTCGTCCACCCGTCTAAAAAATCAATAATAATAAAAAAATGTGTGGTGTCGTGGGACACCGGATAGGAACAAAGTTCCTTATTATAAAAATATTAATTTTAAGTTCTATTCGAGGTATAAAGAAAATAAAACGAGGTTTCGCAACAACCCACGGTCATTCGGTAACGTGCGGACTTATTGTGGTACACTTCATTCACGGTTGTTTGCATAAGAGTTAGTGTATTGCGCAAACGAACGCTCTGAGATCGTGGTCAATGAATGATAAAAAAATATGTTATATTTTGTACGTTATTACAAAATTAAGTCGTACACTGTGAGCATTACTAACAAAAATCTGACGTTACGGACGTTTTTCCCCGGGTAGGGTACCCCTCCGCATCGTCCCATAAGGAACTTCGTTCCAAAAATTAAAAATTACTCACGTTCTGTGCAGAACTCCCCGCTCCAGCCGGGGGCACAGGCGCATGTGCCGTTCGTACACGTGCCTCCGTTCATGCAGATGCGTCGACAACCACCTTGTGTCCTCACTAAACAAAGATCACATACATATTTATATTCATTCGTATACAAAGACTTCAACGGGCATTTTAACGGGATTACAAATTATTTAATTTTCACAATCGAGTGTTTCGTTTTGTGAAACTTCAAAACTATAAGGAAATTGAATAAAATCGCTCGAAATAACTTTTCGGGATTCTTCGAAAAAGTCCATTGATGCCTTAACAATTTTACGGAGTAAATTCTTGAAAATTATTAATTTTACTTATTTAAATTTTGGACTGAACGACGATTCCTTGCTACGGGAATGCAGTATGAGATGAATGCTTAAAAATTATTTAATTTCACACCAGCAATGGTTTCCACATCATTTGCCTAAATATAAAAAACAAATGGAACCATCAAAGCTAATTTTTAATTTTCCACATGATATATTTAACACATTCTAAAATATTTAGATTTTAATTATTAGGTCGAATCAGTTTATGTAGTGATCTAAATAAAAAGAAATATCATTAAAGGAATAATTATTGAATATGCATTAGATACCAAAAAACGAGATGTATATTTATTAAAACTGAACTGAATTTACCTGGATAAGGGTATAAACCGCCATTCCCACAGGAAGGCGCCTCGACTCCTCCTGGACATCGACAGATGTTCGGAGCTATACAAGCTCCTGGCGAGCCGCAGTCTGGTCGGCATAGTGCTGTTGGACACAGTAAAAATATCTCAAACAATGTCATTTTATACTAATCATGGAACAATGTTTTTAATACGCTTTTATTAGCTTCAGACGTATGTTAGTATGTAACGGAATCTTTGAACATGATTTTGACCCCCTTAAAAAAATCGGATTAACTCGAAACTTGGTATACCTATTAAGGACCGATGACAATGAAATTATTATAAAAAAAAAGAAAAAAAAAAAAGAGATTAAACTAAAAAAATTAAAAAAAAATTATAGTTTAAAAAACTAACAAAATACGTTTTTGTAGAAAATCCAACTAAAAATAGAAAATATTAATAATTTTGAATTAAAAATAGTGTAAGAAAAAATGATTTTATTGTATTTTGTTCGTTTTTTGAAACTTTTTTTTTTTCACTATCTATACACTGGTAGTTATAGACTACGAAAACTGTGGAGTCTCCAAAACATGGCAAAACTCAATATACAGCGTGTAAAATAATAATACACTAAAACAGCCGGCCTTATTTAATGATGAAGACTTCGCACCATTATAGAACAAGCCATAAAACAGCTATTACATTTAAATGCAGATAAAATCGTATCGAATTTTACACGTTGTCATAAAATTTATAAGTTTTAAGATCGCGCATGATGTACTTTAACCAAATGATTGATTCAAGGATATTCTTAAGTTTTCTTAAATTTTTACTATATTCAGATGAACCTATATTGACAATACTCTATCAGAAAGATCACCAAAGGACTCGGATACATTAACCAACTGGCATCATGGTCAGTCCAGAGCCGTTGCTAGATATTAGCCTTCCCCTAGATTTGCCACAAGATGTTATAAGCCTATACAGAATCAAGGTGGGGAAATGAAACATCAGTGGGAAAGGGGCCTGCGCTGCCTCCTGTCCTTATTGAGTTGATCGTAATTTATCTGCGAAATGAGTTGTGTGTCTTAATCATTTGTTAACTCTAAATATTAAGAACATTACTTTCCCGTCCGGATTTCTATATCGAGCCGCAATAAGTAGCCAAGAGTGTTATAATATTGTCAGCCGCATTGACACACATATAACATTTTGGTTTTATTCGTTATTGAGCACTCACAGACATCAGAATGTGAATACCGACATCCACTTTGAGACATGAGGTCTGAGTCTCAGTTTTATAATATAACGGCTGCTTCACGGCAGGAACAGGACAGCTGATGATAGATAGCTCATAGCCCGATTTCGAAGCGGTCATCGGAGCGAAAAGAAAGATGATCGGTACTAGACGGGTACTTTTTTCTTTTTTTTTTAACTCTGGGGAATCCATTTACGGATACCCGGTCTAGGGGGGTAACGGACCGGGTTATGTCGGACTCCGGCGCCTCCGGAGAGAAAGAGGGGGAGAAGAGAAGAGGTCCTTCACCTCCCCCAATTTCTCACAGGAGACTACGCCTTGAAAAAGGCGCGCGAAGCACTTGCCCCGCAGAACGACTACCGACTAAACCCCATCGAGCTTCACCACACCGGCTACACGAAACTTACGGTACCGCGGTGCGCGCCGAAAGTCTCGCCTTAGGCGGTACCCGTACTAATGTTAAGACGGGATCTCATCCCCGGGAAAATCACGTAGAACCTCGTCTCGGGAGACACACCGTGAGCGGCGCACAGGAGCCACCTTGCACCGCTTCACCACCGGACCAACAGTAGAGTGCCGGACGCCCCCGCACCCGGCACTCGATAGTCCCTACGAGGGCTGAGCGGCGGCCTCTCACACGCGCCGTCCACCCCGCACGTCACACGTTCAAGGAGTAATAGCGCTAAAGCTTTCGTTACGTAGTCTCATATGTGGGCTCGTAAAGTCAAATGTTCATGTAAATTCTAATACCAATACACTAGGCAATAAGTTGATACCGCGCTATTAAGTACCTAGCTTTATTTTTGATGCCTCTCAAATAGAATATCGCTGGTTCTAAATTATCCATGTAGCATTGTGTTTTTAGTTTCTCTACACAAAATCATAATTACGCGTTACGTAAAGCTATTTTTGTTTTTTTTTTTTTTAATTACCACAATTTTGGAAGAAAACAAAATTAGCTGAGCAACACAAGCGAACGGCTTTTTATAACTTTTAATGCTTTTGCTCCCGTAGCTCGAGGAATAGAGAAAAGTACCCAGGGCACAACAAGGTTACGACGTGACGTAACTGTCTGTTTGTTTATTGGTCTTGGATCGAAACGACCGAACCAATGTGTTGATTTGTTTGGCTTTCTTGCCTAACATTGAAAACTGGACGACCGGTCGATGAGATAATAGCGTACTCACGGACGATACACAGCAATGAATTAGGTCTGGATGTCCACCCGGGACAGCAATGCGTGCTGTTACGGCTCCGGCAGACGTGTGAACTGAAACAATAACAACGCTATAAGTAAAATAAACACAAAGGCACACATACTGTGGGGTAAAACTGGTAGGACCACTTGTGAGTCCGCGCGGGTAGGTACCACCACCCTGCCTAATTCTACCGTGAAGCGGTAATGCGTTTCGGTTTGAAGGGCAGGGCAGCCGTTGTAACTATACTGACTATACTGAGACCTTAGAACTATATCTCAAGGTGTGTGGCGCATTTACGTTGTAGATGTCTATGGGCTCCAGTAACCACTTAACACCAGGTGGGCTGTGAGCTCGTCCACACATCTAAGCAATAAAAAAAAAAAAAAAAACTTGAAACCTTAGAACTTATATCTCAAGGTGGGTGGCGCATTTACGTTGTAGATGTCTATGGGCTCCAGTAACCAGTAACCAAAAAAAAAAGACTATTTCATTAACATCAAGGTGGACAGCCAAAAGAGCGTACGGCCTATCTGGACGTGACGTTGGGGGATCGGATTGTATTATACAGAAAGTTGAAATGGTATTATATGTCTGGCCACGCTCTCCAGGTTCGAGTCCCGGTCAAATAAGACTCAATATTTTTGACACCCATAACACATTAGAATATTCTGACTTGATGACACTGAATGTGGAATATTTTATTATTTCAAGAGATTTAGTAAACAGTAAAACTATTAGCATTATTGAAAAAGTAAAATTTCAGTCGCAGTACATCGTCAATTGATAATATTAACAATAAATTGGTAAATAAGTTATAAAGACATAATTAGCCAAATACTGGGACTTAGGATGTATTGTGGGCAGACACCTGTCTAATTTAAATCTCTAATTTTGTCGCTAAGTTATCGTGTAGATGAAATCCAATCTCAAAACATCCACAATTAATAGCAACTAAAAACCTCGATAGTTAGTTCTTTCTGTTGCGAAAGTAATACAAATGTCAACAAATATAATAAGTTTATGGAAAAAAATGCGGTAGTTAGACCAAGTAATAGTCGGATGTCTATTTCTGAAAATAATTTCCTTTCTATCTCCCCGCACGCCCCTATTTGGTATCAGCAACGCAAGAAAAACAGGCGAATTAAAAAGACAAAACATTACTAACATTACCTACAAAAGTAACTTCATTTTATTTTGACATATGTCAACGTGATCATTGATCAAAGACCGCCCACGTGTTCAATCTCATCCATGTGTCATCCACGAGACCATTCAACAAACATAATGACGAAGGTCGCGACCACCATCATTCATGGGGAGCTTTGTATAGATTCTGGTACACATGTCTGACAATTTGATAAATCTATGAAGAGCACCTTATTTAAGTTAATTCGGTCGGAAGGGCAATAGCGCAAAACACTATATTGCAATTTGCTACAAACATCATTCTATGATAACACAAGCTTTATGCCATTCACCTTGAGACATAAGATTGAAGTCTGAATAGTATATAAAGTCACGAATATATGCGTGAAAGCCGAAAAGCAAAAATTGGCTATCGATGCCGACTTTTTGTATAGATGTTTACGGTATAAATAATGAAACATTAGTTACATACAGATTGATGTGCATGCATGTGCATGTTACCTATAACATCGATTTCGACTTCATATTGACCCAGCGGGTGATCTTGTGAAGCTTGGTTGCTATCCAACCAAACTCAAATCAAAGTTCGGCCAAAAGCGGACCGGGTTTGACTAAGCCTTAAAACTAATACTTCGACTTCTGGTTTCCAGGTATTGTATTTATACATTGTAGACCTCAAGAAACAGAAGCATTTATGTTTTAGCAATGCATTTACTGGTAAATGATGATAATCCACTAACAAAAAAACCACCCTTTTCTTCTCCGAGCAAACAACACCAACATCAGTATAATGAGCATCACCGGTGTGACTCAATTAAGAAGTAGCTTCCGCTCCTTGAGCTCTCGTGGGAAAACCAATTCTCAGATTAGCTACACCAATAAAGACCTCTTAAGGCTGACGTACACTGGGTTTTCAAATATGTGGCCAGAGAATCAGCGGAAAGACTATTCTAGCCTCGGGTTATTCCGTTCTCGGGTTAAGTCCGTACGAGTAAGTACTACCAACCAGTCAATTCTACCATGTAGCCATCGTGTATTTTGGATTACACAGTTGAACCTATTTCTTGATTCCTAGAACCAAAGCACCATTTTCGCCAGAAACCTTCCGGATTTTGAATTAATTTCCATCGATGGCATCTCACGGGTGCTATGACACGTATTTCACCATGCGGGGTTTTATAATAGGCTGCAGCAGATTTTAGCAATTTGGTTGTATCTCTAGAATCACTGTTATCCATGAGTGACGGTAACCCATCATTATCAGGCCTATCTAGACCGTATTCCTACCATATATTGCTCTGCTTTCGATGGCAATTAAAAAACAACCTGGGAGTGTCATTAATAGTTCACTTATTTACATTCAAAATATGTGCTCCTCAGTCGTTGAAGGCGAGCCTGGTGCCAATGCTTTTGAGCAACATAATCTTATAGTATAAACTGCGTTATATGAGTAGCTCTTCTAGTATAAATCAGCCTTTATCCTCGTCGACCTTGGAGTACATTGCTCAGTCACTGCCTGTCCCACTGACCTCAGGGTTACGGTGAGTCCCGAAATTGTCACCGTGAAATCCATCAACGTGGAACCGCCTACACAAGCCCAAGTGTCGGGTTACGATCTGGACTAATTCTCACGAGAAAGTTAGCTTTCAAGGACTCACCTGAACGCTCCGGTAGTGTAATCTTTGATTTCATTTATCTATTATGCCTAACGATCTTTTAAATCTGGTTGAACCATATTTTAAAATGTCAGACTGCTTTTTTTATTTTAATTTTTTTTGCTTAGATGGTTGGACGAGCTCACAGCCCACATGGTGTTAAGTGGTTACTGGAGCCCAAAGACATCTACAACGTAAATGCCGCCACCGACTCTGACATATGAGTTTTAAGGTCTCAGTATAGTTACAACGGCTACCTATGGTCCTACCACAAGTACATTTCTATAATATATCCGTCTATATTTATAAGGTCTGTTTTACGATGTGTACCTAATTATTAGAGGTTTTAAATCATTATTGGCAAGTCCTTTCCATTGTATATACTTGTATGTTAATAACTTAATGTCATTATTTAATTTATTAACTAAATCATTAATCACTAAATTAATAATTATTATAGTTAGTAAGATAAGTATATCTGTACTAAAAGCTCTTGAAAATTTCTAAAACATCACAGAGGACAACAACAAAATGAGCATAGTTTTTCGTAAAAAAGATTTACGGTCATGAAAATAAATATATTACTTGTTTTGCACGGAAACATGCGTGAAAGAAACACACGTACTTATTGAATCAATTCACTTATGAAATGTCTTTAATGACAGAAAATTATTGACAAAAGTCAACAGGACGGTAACCGTTTCAACATATTTGTATTGATGATGCCCAAGCGCATACTCAATACATCTAATATCTATACATTAATACGTGAAGCATATAAAATTTGTATCCCTTTTTACGAAAATTGCGCGGACGGAGGATTATGAAATTTTCCATACATATACAGAATATAGAGAAGAAGTTCAGAATGTTAATATTTTTTTAAATTATGCGTAAAATATATTAAATCAATAAAAAAACATTACATACACTACCATGTATTTGACACACACGCGCATGAATACTATTTGTTTATTATCAAACTTTTCTTAGTCTGTGGTCAAATAGAGAATAGAGTAATAATGTTTGTCTTTATTAATATTTGTCAAAAGTGTGATCTTGGCGAAATCTCTGAATAAAGAAGTATAATAATCTTTGACAATAGAGCCTTAATAATGTTCAAACCACAGATTATCTGTGCTTCAAACTTATAATTTCAATTAATTATAGTCGAATTTCGACTACTACGGGAATACTAGGTTTATTTAAATTGCGTAGATGACCCAACGAGCTTCAACGTGCACAACGGGAATGCCGCTTCCATTTTGTAACAATAAATCGAAGCCTCAATTTTATAATATACCTATCGCTTCGCGGCATATATAAGCAGGATTGTGGTACCACCTCGTGCCTTACAACACGCCCAAACACCAGTAAATCCTGGTTAACGATCGCATTACGGTGGTATCATACTCAAAGTATGCTGCTGCCCATCCTCTGGTTAATACCTTAAACTTTTAGGACGCTCTCAACAAGAGATGGGTGCTATGAAAAAAATGAGGTTGTAGATTGAAGGAATATCACAACAACTATAGGTCTACGCATTATGTTGAGCAAAATGCAGGTAACTACTAAACTAGGGAGAGTAAAAGCTTACCCGACAAACTGGCTGGGCGCTCGATCGTCGAGCATGCGTTGTCCTCGCTGCCAGTGGCGCGGCCGCGTGGTGCCGCGCGGCGTGCGAGGGTCTCCCGCCACGCTGGCCAGCAGCGCCGCCGCCGCTAGCAACCGCCAATAACTCATCTTGGCACCATCACCCTGCAACAACGAACATTATCAGTTCAGATTAAAATCGCACTACCTTGCACAATAATATGGCTCCTACAATATAACTGTACAAGTGGCTACTTATTTTGTATTTACTTGCATATTTTTAGTATTTATTTGTATTTAATTAGCGGTAGGCAGTGGCTTGGCTCTGCCCTTGGCATTGCTGAAATCCATGGGCGACGGTAACCACTCACCATCAGGTGGGCCGTATGCTCGTCTGCCTACAAAGGCAATAATAAAAAAAAAAAAAAAAAAAAAAAAAAAGAATGAAGTCTATCTTATATTGTATTTATTTTTCACATTTGTTTTTCAAGGCTGCAAGGTTGCCTGGAAGAGATCGCTTTCAGCGATAAGGCTGCCAATTTATGTCACCGACTATTATTTCTTTTATATGCTTACTCTGTACATATGGTGTTAAATAAAGTGTTATATTATAATTATTATTATTATCATGTCAAATATTGAACGACTAGCTGTCGAAGTCGTCGTGGCCTAAAAGATAAGACGTCCGGTGCATACGTGTTGAGCGATGCAACGGTGTTCGAATCCCGCAGGCGGGTACCAATTTTTCTAATGAAATACGTACTCAACAATTGTTCACGATTGACTTCCACGGTGAAGGAATAACATCGTGTAATAAAAATCAAACCCGCAAAATTATAATTTGCGTAATTACTGGTGGTAGGACCTCTTGTGAGTCAGGATCTCTTGTGAGTCCGCACAGGTAGGAAAGACGTGAAACAGTAATGCATTTCGTTTAAAAGGTTTAAAAGCCATTATAAATATTTAAATATAAATATAAATATTTTACTAACAATCACGCCACGTTAACTGGTCCCGTGATAAGTTCGTAAAGAACTTGTGTTACAGGTACCAGATAACAGAAATAAATGTAAGATTTTTATTATACACATACATATATTTAATATACATCCATAACCCTGGAAGAGACATTTATATTTATCATACAAATATCTTCCCTTGGCGGGATTCGAACCCGCGACCCCCTAGTGTAGTGACCATGTCACTTACCACTACACCAGACGGACGTTAAAGCCATTGTCAATATACTTGTCTATGGGCTCCAGTAAACACTTAACACCAGGTGAGCTGTAAGCTCGTCCACCCATCTAAGCAATAAAAAAAAAGCTGGACCCGTCCGCTTCGCTGGGCATTTAAAATTAACATTATAATTTCTCACCCCCACAAAGATTCTCATCATTAACGCCCCCGCAACTGGTGTAGGGAGTCCAACACTCATATAAATATTAGCCTATCCATTAAATACATGTATTTTCTACATGGATACCAAGTTTCAAGTCAATCGGGTGCATGCTTCAGTAGTTATAACGGAACACCCGTAAAAACCACTGTAGATTTATATATTAGTATAGATTTTTATTGAACGACCATTGCACAGCAGAGGGTCAGTGCCAATATTCTACTTGGACGTATAATTAAGTACAATATTTGCTAAAATTATTAAAAACGAAAAGATTCAACCTTAAATATCAGTAAATGATTTTTTTTTAATTTAATATTAGCACAATGGCGGACTTAATGCCTGAGGTATTCTCCACCAGTCAACCAAGGGTAATGTAGAGTCAGTCCTGTGGTACGTGCATTCCTCTTTGTGGAAATAAGAAAATTAATAATGATATTATATACATATACAAACACACACACGGTATACATATATAACATAACATACAACAACGTGCACATATAATATATCATTATAATAATATAAAATTTACCCATATATCTATATAAAAATGGGAAAAGACCTCGAGGGCGCAGCCCAATACGTTGGTTCGACCAGATCCGCACCGCTCTTGATCCCACGTTTCACAACGCCCTCCACACCGCCAGAGACAAGAATGGATGGAGATTGTGCGTGCGAAGGTGATACAAAAGGGTGGTCACGACCCTCAGCAATGAGGAATACGACGCAAGGAGCAAGAGATTACGAGGCCTATTTTTATAATAATCATCATATTTTAACTAAAAAACCATAATCTTGTAGGAAGCGGCTTGGCTCTGCATTGCTGAGCGACTCTTGTCCATTAGCGACGCTAACCATTCACGATCAGATGAGCCATACGCTCGTCTACCTACACTAACAAAAAACAAAAAAATATTCAAATTTACAGGTGTGAACACCGTGTATGTTCTACCATGTCTATGTAACCACGTAAACTCGTTAGCCAACAAAAAATGGGATATTAAGTTATTGTAAATGTAATGAATAAAAAATGTACTCTAACTGTAAACCGACAATTCCAGTAAATGCTCAACCAAAATTTAAATGACACAAAATATATTTATTTTAATTAAAAAACAAAAATAAAATACTAAAGATATGAAGCTGTTTCTTTTGTGCATTGATAATAATAACTTTATCACGAAGACCTTGTGATTATGCAAAGACGTATAATTATTTTATTTGTTATTTAAGGCTGACATAGTAAATAATATGGCTTGGCCTTGTTCAAATGAACATAAAATATATTTTACACATATTTAAAAAAAAATATGTATTTGAGAAAAAACAAAAAAAAAGCCCGCTGAGTTTGTTTCGCCGGTTCTTCTCAGGACTGTGGCTTTTTTTGGAACCGGTGGTAGAGTTAACATTGTTATTTATATTTTGACATTCAACAAGTGTGTTATACTGACATCTAAGTTGAAATAAATGATTTTGAATTTTGAATTTTTGAATTATATAAAATTTAAACCCTAAGAAAATGCGCTATTTTGGTTGATACTCATTTAATGACACCTATGTTTATCAGAACTGTTTATAAGCTATAAAAGAACGCTGTTTCTATGATTTTAGAGAACAATATGCAAACACACAACACTAATATAACAATACAGTAAATATGATATTCAAATTTGATTAGGATAATTGATAATCGTTGAACTGATATGATTTCTTGTTATAAATAAAGTGCAAATTATTGTTCCCGGCATGCGTACCATAGATCAGGCGTGGCGGTGGCTCGTGTGGACTGTTTAAGTATTTTATTACTGCGGCGAAAAAATCCTGTTTTCTACTATGAAAGCTGTGGGATCCGAACACATCCGTCAGCCGACTATACAGCCAAAGACAATGAAAGTAGATTGTCTTGAACATATACCCTTACAAGCTTACTTTATATGTATAGCACATTTGATAGCGTACGAGTAATTAGCAGTGCATTCGCGATACGAGCGAACACTCGCAACCCCTGACTGGCCCATATATGAAGTCACTTATTTTTATCATAAATCATTAACACGACATTTCTTACGTAAATTACTGGTTTTTTAATCTTTGACATTTGATATCATTGTTGGAAAACGAAAGGAGGACATTCTTTGGTTAGAAATTTTTGAAATTCCCACTCCTCCGTATTATATTTTCTGGATCACTAGTATGTGCCTTCTGAATGATTTGTTTCCTTAAAACCTTTGAAAAACATAGGTACTGTTAATTTTACACGTTTTTGTTACATACATTTAGGATACATTTCGATCCTACATACAGGAGAAAAAATTGCCTTAAAGATTTGGGGACATTAAATATGTCGTTGCATACACCCAAACGTCTCTAACCATAAGACGAGATGGGTGGACGAGCTCACAGCCCACCTGGTGCTAAATGGTTACTGGAGCCCATGGACATCTACAACGTAAATGCACCACACACCTTGAGATATAAGTTATAAGATCTCAGTATATAGGTAGTTACAACGGCTGCCCCACCCTTCAAATCGAAACGCATTACTGCTTCACGGCAGAAAGAGGCAGGGCGGTGGTGCTTACCCACGCGCACTCACAAGAGGTCCTACCACCAATAAGTAATTAAATGAAACCATCCCATCATTAAGCGACTACCAAACCGACCTACATATGAAATCGACTCTAGCAAATATAATCTGGCTCTACCAACGCTAAAAAAAACAGTTTTGTTTTTATCAGCTTCTTTACAAGCGTCATTAATTTGATTAATAAGGTACTGATAATGGGACGCTCGAGAGAGGAGGGTGGAAGACATGAGAGGGCGGGCCCGAGGGGCGGGGGTCAAGGAATCTGTGCCGAAATGATAACGAGGTACGACGACCCGGGCCAGCGCTCTATGCCACCACACTTCTATATTTAGTCCTACTATAACAAGAAAATATTCCTGTTTCGTTTAATCATAATTATATTATTATTATTTATTGCTTAGACGGGTGGACGAGCTTACTTTTAACCGGCGGTACGTCCTCTTGTGAGTTCGCGCGGATAGGTACCAGCATCCTGCCTATTTCTGCCATGAAGCACTAATGCGTTTCGGTTTGAAAGGTGGGGCAGCCGTTGTAACTATACTTGAGACCTTGGAACTTATATCTCAAGGTGGGCGGCGCATTTACGTTGTATATACCACTTATCGCCAGGTGTGCTGCGAGCTCGTCTACCAATCAAAAGAATAATCCAAACCAACCAAACAAACCAATAACAAAAAATGATCTCATGGCTCACCTGGTGTTAAGTAGTCACCGGAGCCCATAGACATCTACAACGTAGATGCCGTCACCTACCTTAAGATATGAGTTCTAAAACGGCTGGCCCAGCCTTCAAACCGAAACGCATTACTGCTTCACGGCAGAAATAGGCAGGGCGGTGGTGCCTACCCGTGTGGACTCACAAGACGTTCTACCATCAGTAAAAATTAATACGTAAACAATCAATCACTTACGTACATAGCTTTTTTTACTAATTATGGTAGAGTGAATTTGATAATTCGAGGATTGTAAATAAAATCTCTGTATGCAACCTTAAGGGCAGCTTAACTATGTAAACATCCTTATTTGTCCACAAGCGGAACTAGTTATTATTATAATCTTTCTTATATTACTCCTGCCCCTTATCTCAATGGATGGAGTTGCTACAACATAGACATGTTGTTTGATATAGCCTAATATTTTACAACCGGTCTAATTAGGCTGGAGGATAGAGAAATT